CATAGTAAGGATTTGTTGGAGAAAATTTATGTTGGTGTCGCCATGGCATTTGAATCATCTCCATGGCTGTCTTAGGATGTTCAAAACATTTCAGAGCAGCTTGTCTGTCTCTTGGGGAAGGTTCCATAATTTTATTTTCAACTTAATAACACATGGAACAACATTAACATGACTACATGAATCTTCTTTGTATATTTCCAAAAGTATGATATTTTAAGTTTTTTTTTTAATGTTAGTATTCCTGTAAAATATGAAATTAGCAAAAAAATCACCGTAGTTATAACATTTGATCTTTAATTATAAATCTATTATCAATTTCACAAAGTTTGGTTTAGTTGTTATAATTATTTCAAATAAATATTCCTTTGGTTAGTATTTTTTTTTCTCTATTAACATTTGTATGCTCAACTAATTAAATCAAATACTGGTTTTTTATCGGCAAGTTCTCATTAACAAATGATAACATTCTATCCACAATTAACAAAGCAATTGATGTTAATTAATTAAATTAGTTTAGACTTGTAATAGGAATTTAAAATACCAAAATTTTGTCTTTCTGAATCTTTTCAAACCTCCCTTCTCCCTTCGATGGTAGAAGATTGACCTTCTTGGACTACCTAGTACTATATAATGGCCAATGATGTAAAGGAGAAGGAAACAAAGAACAAAAAAGGGGAGCATGCGAGATAGGGGTTAGTTAAGGTCCTCAACAATCCTCTTATATTGGTGATTTTGAAGTCCAAGATAAGTGGTAATGGTGGCCAAAAACAAGTGCGATAAGCAGTACCAAGTTTAGAGTCAACATCACGATTTGGTCCTATAATGGCCATGTTCTCTGTTCTACCTTTTATGAGGTCGTATGATTGTGACATATATAAAGGAGTTCAACTATGACTTGCTCTGATTCAGGTCATTTCTTGGCTTAGATGCTAGCCCATAAAGGCTAGTTTCTCATTCAATTTATCTTTTTTTTTTCTTTTCCTTTCTATTTTCTGTCTAATATTTTAGTTGAATTGACAACTCATTTTTTTCATTAGAAAAATCTAAAAAAAAAAAAGATCCTTAGTAAATCCAGCCAGTTCAATTAAGCAGAGGAGATATAGATCTCTTTGGTTACATCTTACTAAAGGAAATCTAAGACTACATATAAGAGAACTCTTTGGGAAGTACATGTTGGTGCACGTTGATATAACCATCTGGGTTGTACATGTTGATGTATCCATTCAGTTACACGAGCACTTTTGAGTATCTTGAAAAAAAAAAGTATCCATTCAGTTATCCGTATAAGATACATGCTCTCATACTTGAGCTTGATTCAACACGAGTCCAACCATATTGAACTCTAATAATATATCTATTTTCCATCCTAATTTATCGTCTTTCGGAACCATTTTTGTTACTACTCATATTGCTCTAGCTAATTATGCAGGAATTGCTTGCTTTCTTCTAAAAAATCCTTACCACTCATGTAGATTGATCGATTTATTCTTTTTGTGGGACATTGCATTCCTCCCCTCCTTCAAAGTATATGGTACCCAAAATTCACATCCATATCTTGTTTTGCAAGTATTCTAGTATATTTACATGGTGAACTTGTCTCTCAATCTTTACATGACATCATAATCAATCAGTGCATTTAATACGTCAAATTTAGTCATAGCAATTACATTGAAGTTAGCATTTCAATCATATAGCTAGGTAATCTTATTATCTTGTATGATTTATTTGACGTTAAAGCAAATCATGAAGAGTGTTGATAATAAACCTCTTGAACTAGTAATGAAATGTAACGAAGGCATACCAAATGGACAGCATTAAAGGAGGGTTATGTTACTGTTATCTTTCATGTGCTTTGCCATTCTATCGCTTTCTGATGCTTCCTGTGATCACTTACCTTGTGCTCTCAGTTGAACATTCTGATGCTTTCTAAGTTTTATTTTGACAATATTTAGCCTTGTGACCACCTTCTTGACAGCTAAAGCACATTGCCCAGGTCTAAATAACACTCTCTCTATGAAACTTTCCACTTCGATTGAAGCTTGTGTTATTCTTAGGCATCTAATCTTGTGGACCTATTGTTTGTTTGTTGTAAATCTAGTTTTCTAGTTAGTGTTACTTTTCTCATAACCTACTTTTTAAGGTCACTTTATCAAGCTCCCTCTTGGCTATGAAATTGAGTCAAGCAATTGCCTATGGCACTCGGAACAGTTAACATGGGCGTTCAAATACCAACCCTCAACCTCTAAGGAAATGCCACTATTATTGTTCTTTATTCTGCTTTAAATTGTTAATGAAATGACAATGTTATATTTAAATATATTATAATCATAGTTCCTTTGTTTAGACTGACATGCTCATCCATAGATTTTGCATGAATAGCTGCAGAAGTAGTGTTTCTAAATAGCCTCTCAAATTCATCTCTCATTAAGCTTTAGGTTATATGTGCGATGATTGTCCCACAAGTTATTTGCTCCAACATGAAGTAGATATGTTCATGTTCCGTTTTTTTTTCTTAAGGATATCTCATTATCTGAATGCGCCATATATATGTACAAGCCAAGAATCTACTTCCCTGTGACCTACAATGCTCGAAGGCTTTAGGTGGATTTATCATGTTAAATTCAGTTTCAGTCCTGATGAACCTATGGGGCTTGGAATTCAGTTTGGGCATATATTTGTTTTTCATGTTAAATTTAATTTGCTACAACTTAATTTAACAAAAGTTCTAAAAGAGGGATCAACACTGGAAATTGTTACTTCATTGATCCTATTTAGGTTGATCAAAGTTGATTTTATATAAAACCCAATTTTGAAATCTCTTCATCACATCGCTTGTTGTGTGGATGAACCACCAAGAGCTTGTGGTGTAAAACTATAGTGATTGAAGTACTTTACTCAATTGAAGTTTTTAGCAAAAAAAAAAAAGTTTCTTAGCTGCGTAGCTCTATTTCACCTTTTCTTTACCCCACTTTTCTTTCTCTCTCTCTCTTTTTTTTTTTTTCATTGCTGGTTAGTCAATATTATGACAGAAGTTGCTGAGGATGGAAGGGATGCTTGAGGGCTTCGTGTAAAAAAAAGAAAGAAAGAGAAAAGTAGTGGGTGGAAAAGGTAGTGGAGAGAAGAAAAAAGATTTGTGATTGGTAAGTAAACATGTGGTGTGGAATGTGGTACCGAGACTGTTGCAGTATTGGCTATCATAATATGGACACCATCTTTATGAAAATGACTTGATGGAATATAGATTTTGATAGATAAGTTGTAAAAATCTTACTACATCGAAGACTAGGGATTCTTTCTGCTGTTCTACAGTACTCATTTGACTCCTGTAGTTAAGACTTCTCAGGCTGATCAAGTCTCTTTTTCTATTTTAATTTCGGCAACTGTTTATTACAATGGAAGTCTTTTAGGAGTTAGGTGTCATTCAGCGGAGAAATTATTACATGTGGTCACTGGACGTTCTAGAGAAGAATCAGGATGCGCCATATCACCCCGGTACACAGCACTAATACTCAGCAAATGGTGACATGGCGCGTCCTGATTCGCCTCTGGGCGGCATCTAGTGACCGCACCTAATAATTTCTCCATTCAGTGACTATGATAATTAATAGTTGGTTTTCACTTGTTTTAATGATGAGGATATTTTTGTAGTTTTGGTTGGAGTGTTTCTGTTGTAGACTTGTAGTCTTCTTCTAGTCAATTTAAGCACAACTTTATGAACATTAATTTAAAATTAGGGTGGGTTCTTAAATATATTTTCTTTTCATCTCTTTTTTTCCTTTTCAGTCAGCTTTTACTCTAATTACCATTTTTTATGTATCATAAAATTTTCATGTATTTATTTATCTAACACCTAAATTTTTATATTTACTTATATTACACTCAAATCTTTAAATCACATAAAAAATATCAATAATATTAACTTATTTAAAATAAACATACATGTTCATACGTACGCTTTGTTATGTTTTAGTTATCAAGCTATTTATAAACAAATATAAAAATTTATGTTTTGGATACATAAATCCATTAGTATTTTGTGTTTTGTATGTTAATCTTTCAGAGGCAAATTATGGGAAGTTAAAGATGCATATGTAATTTCTTTATAATTTTATGTTCTTTATCATTTTTGGATTCTTTTAGAGACCAGAGTCTGTTCTGGGCTTGCTTATATTCACACAGTTATATATGAAGTTTAAATTGAGAAGATCGCAGGATTAAAACCACATGGTAATAATTTGTGGGCATTGAGGTGGTGAATTTTCGGGACCCAAAGCTGTGATCCAATGCTAGGAAAGGAGCTTTATGTGCAGGAATGTGAAGAACCCAAACGTTCTTTACGCATGTTTGTTGTTTCTTGTTATCTTAGGCTTTAGTTTATATATTTGGACGATGTTAATAATTTAAAGATGAAATCTCTTTATTAACATCCGCATGTTGCCTTATGTCCATTCATTTATATTTGTTACGGGCAAAAATATTCACGGTGGTAGAGTAAATAAAATTTTTGTCATAGCGATGCACGGATATCCAGCACACAAACAGCGAGAGTAGTAAAACACCTGATCTTTTTACGTGGAAAGCCCGAAGAGTGAAAAACCACGGGGCCTCGCCCAGGTGAAAAGATTCCACCAAATTTGAGTGATATAAAGGTTGACCCATCCTTTGACTTAGTGGCGGTCAAATTACTATAGTTTGGAGAGTCGGGTAAAGGACTGGCGACGTATCAATATTTATTACCTTTATAGAGATCTAGAGGCATTAGAAACTACCATCTTGCTCAAAACTCGATAGTTTCCTGCTAAAAATTGCAACATTTTGACTCCTGAACTTATGGGAGATAGTCAAATTATGTAGAGGGGAAGGTAAATTTGCATGTACATACTTCTCCCTATTTCTGAATTCTTTTGTATTTTGTTACTGATATCTTATAAAATATTGTATAAACCTAACAAATATTAACAATACAAAACATTTAACAATTTTCCATGTGATCTATTCAGGGAACAGCAGATGATGTAGTGGATTGCTCTCATGGGAAACAACTTTGGGAACTTTGCAAAGAGAAGTATGAGCCATTATGGCTTACAGGAGGAAAACACTGTGATTTGGAGCTTTTTCCTGAATATATCAAACATCTGAAGAAATTTATATCAACGGTCGAGAGATCACCTTCAAGTAAGCACATTTGGAGAAGAAGCACTGATCAGTTTGAGCCTCCCAGGAGAAGTAGCGACTGCTTTGAAGCCTCAAGGAAGAGTACTGATTACTGGGAGAAACCAAGGCCCAGTGTGGACAAATGCAGAAGCATTCATAACAAATCTAACGGTAAAGAGAAAAATAAATTCAAATTCTCATTTGAAAGCATGGAGAACTCAAGGAGAAGTGTAGATTGCTTTGAAAGACCAAAAAGAAACACTGAACTGATGGAAAAAGCTAGGAAAAGTGTTGACCGTTTGGATAGAATATGGGCCGGGTAAATTTTCTTCCTTCACTTTAGTATAAATGAGCATATTTGTACTGAAAAAAATTTGTTTGTGCTTAGTTTATAAGTGCTTTTTACATTATAGTTGGTGGAGACAGAGACACAGTTTGACAGATTTTAGTCCTTGTAATTTGGTTTAGTGAGTTCAATATCAAAGTTTACCTTTCATGTTTGGTTTGGCTTCAAACATGTTATGAGCCCTTAGGTTTCGTTTGGAACAGCTTTTTTGTTACTTTAAAACTGCTTTTTAGTACAAAAAATTCTAATTCAAGAAATTCTTGTACTATAAAGCTGTTTTAAAAAACAACAAAGAAGTTGTCCCAAATGAAGTCTTAGGCTTCGTTTGGGGTGGCTTTCTGCCTGCTTCTTAAAGCGGCTTTTTAATACAAAAATTTTAATTTTTGTACTAGAAAGTTGCTTTACGAAGCAGTAAGAAAGCCGTCCCAAACAAAGCCTTAATTGTCTTTATAAATCATGGTCTTGTAGCATTAGTATTTTAAATTAGATTCTCAAATCTTTAGGAAAAAATTCTAAACCCTAAAAACCCTAATCCTGAGAGTTGGCTCAAAATTGAATCAATATTTTATTTGGATTGAGCTCGGATTGAAATTACAATACTGTAATTGTAACTGTCAATCCAAACAATTAGAATAAGCCATTAATTTTTTTTTTTCCTTTCTATGATCTTTGTTGCATTTTGTTCATCAGTTATTTGCATATTTTCCTATTATTATGAATAATAGGCGAGGGAAAGATAAATAAAATAAATAAATAAATAGAAAATAAAATAAAATAATAATAATAATTGAGCAATAACAAGCCTTAATTTCACTACGTGGGATCAGCTATATGAATCCTTTTTCTTCATTGTGCTTTGTTAAGAGTTAAATTTTCATTTAAATTTAGTAAAAAATATTGATTTTAATATTTTATAACCAAGTCTTTTTAGGTCTATTTTTATCTTTTTTAACATAAGTTAAATCTAATTCATTTATTTTATTAATTCGGTCATCGGAAGGCTGTTATTTTATTTTATCAAATCATATAAGACTACTCTCTCTAATCTTATCTTCTATTGGTGCTACACCAATCTTTTCATGTATATGCTTATTTCATTTCTTGTTTTTAAGAGGAGAGCTACTAATTCACCTGAGCATCATTATCTTTGCAACACTAAACTCATTATTATGCTTCTCTTGTAATAAATAATAATTTGTACCATAAAACATTGCTGGTCTCACCACTATCTTATAGAAATTTTTCTTAAGTTTGAGGGGGGTTTTTCTATCACACAACAAGCCCAATGTATTCCTCCACCACTTCAACCATCCAATTTAAATTCTACTAATAATATCTGCATCTATTTCACCATCACTCCGAACAATGGATCCAAGATATCTAAAACGTGTACTCTTATAAATGACTTGATCGTCCAAAATCACAATACCTTCACTAAATCTATTACTATTAAAATTACAGTTCATATATTCGGTTTTCAATCTACTCAAACGAAAACTTTTAGACTCTGATTGACCTCCATAATTCAAGTTTACCTTCAACTCCCTCTCTAGTCTTATCAACAAAAAAAAATATCATTAGCAAAAAAACATACACCAGAGGTACAATCTTTCAATATCGGTCTTGTTGATAAGGCAGCTGTGGAGTACATTTTGAAAGCCTAGAAATCGTAACATTCTTTAAAATTATTGCCACCTATATATTATTATGAAATAGGCATACGAGCGCCTAAATAATAAATCCTCTAAAACTTAAATATTAAAGATTCGTTTAGGATAATTTTCTTACTGCTTTACTTTTTAGATTACATTACTTTTTCATTCTTTTCAAAAAAAAAAAAAATTGTATTAACACTTTATTTTTTACAACCGTTTTAAAAAAAAGTTATTTTTTTTTTTACATCGATTTCATAAAACAGTAAAAAAGTTGTCATGAAGAAGCATAAATTTGTGAGAAGCCTCACCAACCTTATAAGTATTTTATTGGTCTCTAAAAGTAAGTCAGCCTAATTAGAGGTTGGGACCAAGAAAGTCTTTCTTGGTTGCTCCTCCTTACTATATTCTATATAAATGATATCAATGAAAGCAACTTCTATATTTCTTAGAAATTTGATAAAATTTATTAGACTCTCCTATTTACATTCATACCCTCTTAGGTCAATTGTGCTGAGTCATTGTTGAATAGAGTGAAATCATGCCATCATTGTTGAATTAGTCATCAATATAAAATTTATCTATTTTATTGCTCAATTTAGGCTTCATTTGGTATAGCTTTCTTATTGTTTTGTTTTTCGGACCGCAATCATTATTTTTGTTTGACTATTATTTTTTTGCTGCTTTGAGAAAATTTTTGTACTAGAAAATTGCTTTATGCAACAATTTTAAAGAATTATTTTCTGTACAACAGCTTTATAAAACAATAAGAAGCCTGTCTCAAACGAAGCCTAATTCTACTTGAAAATTGTATCAATTTTGGTAGTGGAATATAGTATATGCTTCTCTCTCTCTCTCTAAAAATTCACAAATTTATAATTTGTGTCATTTGTGACAGTTTTCTTACTGCTTTGTTTTTCAGATCTTAACCACAGTTTCTGTTTGACCATCATTTTTTCATCATTTTTAGAAAATATTTGTGTCAGAAAGCTATTTTCTATATAAGCTTTAAAAAAATGACTTTCTCTACAACGATTTTATAATCATATTTATAAAAAATTGCAACCGTCTTAAACGAATTCTTAAAGTCAAATGCCTTAAATTGTGCTCATAGGAATATACTATGTGTGTGTCTTTCTCTCTCTAAGGAATATGTAACTTAGAATCTATATCTTTCTTAAAGAAAAAAAAAAAGAGAAAAAATCCTAAAGAGTGCAGCAATGAGATTTGCATATCTACCGCTTTCAAGGAGGATAGTTTCTTAATGCTGCTTATTGAATAATTCAAACCCATTATTGGTCATAGCAAATATCAGAAGCATCTCATTAATTTCAGTAACTATCAGAAGACTTTATCTGAGGGCATGTCATTCTACCTATTATAATTAAGTTTATTTGATTTCTCTCTCTCTCTCTCTCTCTCTCTCTCTCTCTCTCTCTCTCTCTCTATATATATATATATATATATTTATTTATTTGTCATAAAAATTTAGTTTAAACGGGCATAAATCTCGATACGTAATAGAATTGACAACTTTCAAATTCAAAATTAGGATCGCCTAAATTTTGATTTCAATAACTTAAAGTTGAATTGAATGTGTCGATGAGATGAACCTAAAGATACCAAAAGTTGTTAAATTTGATTCCAAATGAACCTGAATTGAACGCTTGAAGCACAATAAAAAAATTTTGGGATATCAATTAAAGGATCAAACAATATATAAATATTGCATACTTATAGACTTATAGTCAAGTCAAACATCTTGACGGGAAGAATACAATGAGCTCAATATCGCTTGATTTTGACACCATGAAGTCATTTCAATGCTAAAGAACCTATCTATGATTGAAGAAATCAATTTGAGCTATATGATTAAGTGTTTTAAAATTTAGTAATATCTATGGGACATTCACCCTAAAAAATCTATAAATGTGATGATACTCTCTACATAAAGAGGAGTGTTTTGGCTTCAAATTCAAGATAGATTAGATGCTCTACGAATTCTAGAGCTCCACATGAGCACCAAAACCAAACTACCGTCTAACTGTAGTTATTAGATCATCACTTGACCACTATCATCGAACCACTACCCCACCTCTGTTGAATTGCTAACCATCCATCGCCAAGAGAACACTGTCCAACCTCCATCTTTACACCATCACCCAACCATCATCGTAGGATCATCACCCAACTAACACCACCAGGCCACGGCTTGGTCATTATCATCAGACTAATGCTTAATCAACGGCATCGAAATATTGCTCAACTACTGCCATTAAACCACAATTCCAATAGCACCATCGAACTACCATCACCTTATTGCAATCCATCAATTATTGTCGCTTGATTATAATCTTCAATTTACTTTGACCACCATTTCTTGACTTCAGACCTCTAGCCACTGTCACCCAATTATAATCATTTAATCACTATTTGCTCAACTATAGTTCTCTGACTATTGTCATCCAACTATGATCCTCCGACCACCACCATCTAACTATGATCCTCCGACCACCACCGACTAACTACGATCCTCCAACCTTTATCACTTTGTTATGGTCCCTTGACCATCATCGTCTGAATAAAATCCTCCGACCACTATCACCGACTATGGGCTTCTGACTATTGTCGCGTAACTATAGGTCTCTAACCACCATCACTCACTATGATCCTCTAACCACCATTATTTAACTATAATCCTTCAATATCTATCACTCACTATGGTCGTTTGACCACCATCGTCCAACTATAACCATCCAATTCCCATTGCCCAACTATCCTCTAATCTCTATCACTCGACTACGATCCTTCGACCACCGTCGCTCGACTATTTGTAACACCTAAAGATCAAATTTTGAAAAAATTGCCTACTTTAATCTCTTAATTAATCAACTAGAGCTTCTATGAATTCATCACAATAAATTAATCAAACGGAAGCAACTAAAAATCATATACATCAAAATATAAAACTATATTCGTTTATCAAAATTTATTTACAATAGTTAAGAGTTTAATTCATACATTCATCTGTGTATGTTTTAATTATTGACTACAAAAGAATAAGACTAAAGAAAATACAAAAATAAAATAAAATCTGAATAACAAATCTGTCCTTACCTCAATGGATCTTGATGATCCCTTCTTGAAAATATGTGAAATCACATAGTAAGCTAATAGCTCAGCATGTTACTAGAAATTATAATTAAAATTAATGCAAGGTACTAGAAATATTATGCATGTAATCATTCAGTCAATATCATAATGAATATATAATTTTAAAATATATTATAATCAATGTGATTAGTTTCATATCATATAAACAATAAAATCAGTATAAGCAATATAAATCATAATCAATGATCAATTACCAAGTGAACAATTATCAGTATGTTATAACAATCTTATACACAACAATTACAAAATACTTTATATAACATCTTATTACATCAATACATAGTCGCCCGACTATCTATAACGCGCCAAGATCAAATTTTGGAAGAATCTCCTATTTTAATCTCTTAACTAATCAACTAGAGCCTCTACGAATTCATCAAAATAAATTAATCCAACGAAAGCAACTAAAAATCACATACATCAAAATATAAAACTATATTCTTATCTTAAAATTTATTTATAATAGCTAAGAATTCAATCTATACATTCATCGGTCTATCTTTTAACTCGTGACTATGAAAGAATATAACTAAAAAAATACATTAAAAAAATAAAACCTGAATCTCAAATTTTTCATTACCTCATTGGATTCTGATGACCCATTCTTGAAAATATGAAAAATCACAGAGTGAGCTAACAACTCAGTGGGTAACTAGAACTTACAATTAAAATGAATGCAAGATACTAGAAATACTATGTATGTAATCATTCAGTCAATATCAGTATGAACATATAACTATAAAATATATGATAGTCAATGTGATCAGTTTCATATCATATAAGCAATAAATCATTGTAAGCAATGCAAATCATAATCAGTATTCAATTACCAAATGCACTATGATCAGTAAGTTTTGGCAATGTTGTATCCAACAGTTACAAAATAATTTATATAATATTTTATTGCATAAATATATTTGTTATTATCATATGTATGTCGTATAGTGTCTATGATATGCATGTATATCATGTAAATAATTTTATTCATATATGGCAAAGGCGATTTACAAATTATACTTATAATGACTCCTTGGGTTAAAATATGGACTATTACGCAATCACTCAATTGTAATTTTGTGACCTCTATCAACCAACTATGTTCCTTCGATCGTCATAGCCTTATTAGGGGGCCTTTGATCATTGTCATTCAACTACAATCCTTCAAGCATCATTGCTCAATTATGGTCCTTCAACTTCCATCACCCTATCACCATCATCTAACTAGGATCCTTCAACCACCATTTCTTGACTACAATCCTCAGACCATTGTCCCCATATTATAGTCCTTGGAACACAATTGTTTAGTTATGATCCCTTAACAACCATTACCCAACCATGGTTCTCTAACCCTTGTTACTTTACTATGGTTCTACCATTATCGCTTGACTATAATCATGCAGTCAGTGTCACCCAACTATGGTCCTTCGAGCACAGTAGCTCAACTATGATCATCCAACCACCTTCATCAAACTAAGATCATCTAGCCACAATTGCTCAACAATAATCCTCTGGCCATGATTGTTCAATAATGACCCTTTAACCACCACCATCACTACGATCCTCCATCTTACAATGCTTTGATCATTATAGACTGGCTACACCAATGCACGTTGACTTGGCTGCCTACCATCACTTAGTGGTGTCAGTTTGGGTCAACAGGTCGGGTTCAGGTCAAACCAGACTTGACCCGGGTCGGATTCGGGTCGAACCCGACTTAACCCGGTCATAAACGGGTTAACCTTAACCCAACACGGTTTTGGAAACGGGTTAGATTTGTTGACCCGGAACCGACCCGTGCGGGTTACCAGGTTGACCGGACCCGTGACCTAGAAATCACATGCACAACGGAGCAGGTCGCCATATGGGGCTCAGCAAAGTGGGTATCGACTGGCGGTAAGTGAGGTTAGGTTGGCCACTAGCCAGGCGACGACGCAAAGGCAAGTGCGGGCTCAGGCAATGTCGGTGCGGTCCTCTCGTGCGGGATTGACGTCGAGGGACTCGACATGTCATCCAGTGAAACCAGTTGTGCAATGATTGCAGGCAAACATCAGATTGCAGACCGCCGACTGCGGACTTGCATCGTAGGCATCTGTGTGGGAGGGTGGCTGTCCTGACACGGTCATGTTTACCCGGATGACTGCCCAGGCGATGACACTACGTCCGGTCCAATCCCTTTATTCCCTCCCACACAGGAAAAATTAAAATGGGCGGAGGTGTATGTGAGTCATCTCGGGTCAATTTCGAGTTACCGGGTTGATCGGGGCTCAAGTGAGAGAAGAAGAGAAGAGAAAAAGGGGAAAGGGAGAATCATCTCCTCATCGACCACCGCCGGAGTTCTTTCCACCGCCTGAATACGCCGGAACTCTACCGGATTTTCGGGAGACGCCTGAATTCTGCAGAACTTTGTAAATTTGCTTCAAATTAGAAGAAACAGATTGTAATCTGATCGTCATGACTTGTGGGACGAATCAACTTATTGTAATTTACAAAACACTAGTGAAACTTTTCAACTGGGCGCGGCCCCGTGGTTTTTCCCCTTTTCAGGGTTTTCCACGTAAAAATTCTGGTGTTCATTTTCTTTTCTGTTTGTGTGTTGAATATCCGTGCAACGCTCAGACGTGAATTTGCAAACTCTACCGCCGCGTATATTCTAGCCCGCAACAGTGCCAAACCTCCATAAAACTCTAAGATAATAACCTCTCCGATTTATCCGTTATATATATGCATACACGCAACACACCGATATATATACATATATCAAATAATATTAAAAAATACATTAAGAACTATCAAACTTCAATTCCTTATTATTAAATGAGTGTTATCTTTATTTTCTCCAAATTTTTAATCACTTATTTTAAATCAAAAAAATATATAATTTTTATCTTTCTATCACTATACATCCTTACCATAATTCAAACCAAAAAGACTTTTTCTTCCTACTGCGCATTACAAAATAATAATAATATCAAAGTGTTGCACACAAAGTCTCTTTATTCACACTTATTTTACAATATCTTTCTTTTGTCACACTTAAATTATTAGTTAATAGATTTCAGAGCATATTTTCTATCCATCTATTCAACTATTTTATATTCCATGACTAATACTATTTTATTATAATCATGCAACTATTGGCTCCAAATTTTACTAACTTAAAAGAAAAAAAATATTATAAGAAGATATAGATTTTGTTTGGGACGACTTTCTTACTGTTTTTTAATACAAAAATTTATACTAAAAAACTGCTTTAGAAAGTAATAAGAAAACTGTTCCAAGATGATCCGGAGACAAACAAGAACGTGCTACATCACCCGGTGCACAATGGTAACGAGAAAAAAATGATGCGGCTCATTTTGGTTGATCTACAGACGTCATTCGGGATCCGCAAAGAATAATTTTTCGTTCCGAACAAAGCCATAATCATAATACTATTTTCTACTACTTCATGCTATACCGCTCTTCTAAATAATTGCATAGCACCTAATTTTTAGAATTGTACAACAATAATATTTTTTTTAATTTTTCTCATTTAATTATTTTAAGTTATAGTTCATTAGTTGGATTTAAGGTCTTACATGTTTTTATAAATTTATTTCTTAATTTATTATGAAGAAAAATATATACAAATAGATAAAAATAAAAAAAAATAAAAAAAAATAATATTTGCATGACTTTATTGCATGCTTTTATAGGATCAAATATATACTAAGATCAATAAAAAGGGCTTATTAAAAATCTAATTAAATTCTAATGCCTCATTTGGGACGGCTTTCTTACTAAAAGCGATTTTTTAGATTAAAAATTTATTTTAAGAAGCAATAAGAAAATCATCCTAGCCGAAACCTAACTTTTGAACTTAATTATAAGAATGGATCCTCACACACACATGAATGAATTTTTCAATCCATCCTGCCGGCGGTGCTGGTGGGGACGAGCGGGTGGCGAGTAGTGATGGCGGCGGCGATGGTCTGGCAGCAGATAATAATGGCAACGATAACACATTTTCAAAGTTTTGATCTTTATAATACATAAAAAATAAACTAGAAAGTGAAAAAAGAAAAATTCACTTAAAATTTTACATTACATAAAATATATTTTTTAATATTGAGTAATATCTAAGTAATTGATAATATTAACATCAAACTAAGACATAAATATTACTAAAATTATTATATTTTAACATATTATGAAATAAAATATTTTCTTTAGCTTCTGCAACTAATCTGAGCCAACATAAGCCTCACCTCCTTACTGCTCGGCCTCTCCTTGGGATCATCGGCCGTACAGAAACACGCCACCCTCAAAGCCAGCTCAAGATTCTCATCGTCTCCTCTTCCGGCGATCTTTGCGTCGAAGCAAGCCGCCGTGTTCGCAACCCTCACCTGCTTCCTCATCCATTTAATCAATCCGAGCTCCTCTGTTTCCACAAAGAACTCATCTGACGGAAATCTCCCGATCACCATCACCGCGAGAATCACGCCGAAGCTGTAGATGTCGCATTTCGTCGTATATTTCATTGTCTGGTAATACTCCGGCGCGATATAGCCGACTGTTCCGGCGATGTTCGACATGGTCATGTGCGTATGGGCTTCCGGCACTTCTTTGGCGAATCCGAAGTCGGCTATTCTGGCCTCCATGTTCTCGTCGAGTAAGACGTTAGCGGGCTTTAGATCGCGGTGGATGATGTGGGGGTTATGGTGGAGGTGAAGGTGTTCGAGCCCAGCGGCGATTCCCATCGCGATGTGGTGTCTGGTAAACCAGGTTAGATCTCGCTGGCCTTCGGCAGCTTCGCGGAGGGCGTTGTGGAGGCTGCCGTTCTTCATGTATTCGTAGATGAGGTAATGGCAGTCGGGGCGGGAGACATGAGCTAAAAGAGGGAGGAGATTGCGGTGGCGGATTCGGCCGACGGTTTTGATTTCAGATCGGATCTGTCGCACCCATTTGTCAAGGAGACGGCTTTCTTGTTCGGTTAAGGGTTCGGCGTTGTTTTCTACGGCGGCTTTGCGGATCTTTTTGATGGCGATCATTTTGACGCCGCTGGTGGCGGGGAGTTCTTTGAGGTAGACTTCACCGCTGCCGCCGCGGCCGATGACTTCGAGGTCGAGTAATCCGGTGTCCTGTTCGAGGAAGGCGAGGTCTTTCTTGTTTTTTATGACGGGGCTGAAAATTTCGGCGCCGTTGCGGTTACGGAAACGGCCGCGGATGTAGTTGAGGATTAGGTGGAAGATAGTGGAGACGATGAGGCCGCTGAGGACGCCAGCGATTGAGCCTACGAAGAATCCAAGTATCCAGTTCAGGATCTTGTGTTTGTGTTTCCGGTGGTGGGGGTTGACGGGCATGGGAGAGGGAGTTGGATTGGATTCAGGGCTGTCTGCGATGAAATGATCGGATGGAGAGGGATTTGGGGCGAGAGTGTCTGAGGGGAGGAGGCTGCGGCGCTGGAGGGTAAGGGATGGTTGGTTGCTGGTGAGGTAGGAATTGCCGGAAAGGTCGATGGTGAGGAGATTAGGGAAAGAGGAGAGGGAAGGAGGGATTTGGCCGGAGAAGAAGTTGTGGGCGAGAGAGAGGTTTTCGAGATTGGGGAAATAGACGAGGAAGCGGAGGTCGCCAAACAAGCTGTTGGAAGACAGGTCGAGGGATCGGAGAGAGGTAAGGGACGAAAAATCGACGGGAATCTCACCGTAAAGACGGTTTTTGCGGAGGTTGAGTGTTTCGAGGTTGGTGCAGAGTGAGAGTTCGGCGGGGAGGGGCCCGGAGATTCGGTTTTTGGGGAGGGAAAGTTCGCGGAGGTCGGAGAGGCGGCCGACGTGCGGGGATATGAACCCGGCGAGGCGGAGGGAGGGGAGAGAGATGCGGGTTGTGCGGAGAGAAGGGCCGATGAGCTTGCAGGAGATGCCAGTGATGAGGCAGGGGTTTGAGAGTGCGGCGCTGCGGCGTGGAAGGCCAACATGGGAGAGGATTTGACGGAGGTCTTCGGCGTCGTTGGTGGCGGCGGGGATGATGATGAGGAGAAAGATCAAAGGAATGAGGGTATCTCCGGCATTCGTCGCGGTGGCGCCGGCCATCTTGGGATGTAGATGAGGGAATGGAAGTGTGGGTATAAAACGCGAGCAGGAATGGATCACTGTGGAAAAGTGTGGAAGTGGTGGGGGACACAAAGAAGCCGGCGAGGAGGCGTTTTGGCAAAATGGATAATTTGAGGAAAATTAGGGTGAGAATATTCCTACCCAAATTTAATAAGATTTTTTTTTTAATTATAGGTTTATTTTAATAAAATAATTAATTCTTTTTTTAATATTCATCTAAATATTTATTTATTTTTAAAAAATTTATCCTTCATAATGTATTGATATATAAGCGTTGCAAAGATGAGAATGATTGGGTGGCTGACTAGCTTCACTCGAAACAAATATATACGTGAAAAGGTTCGAGTAGCTCCAATGACAGATATGATTAGAGAGAGCTGCCTTAGCTGGTTTAGTCACATAAAATATCGGCATTTTGAAGAGAGTTGGCTTAGATGGATTGGTCACATAAACGTCGACAGCTTGATGACTCGATTAGAAGAGTTGGTTGAGAGAGTATATATGATTAGAGAGAGTTGGCTTAGATGGATTGGTCACATAAAACGTCGACCTTTTGACAACTCGATTAGGAGGGTTGATACATAAGATTTAGCCTATGTTAAGAAATGGAGAGGTTGACCTAAAAAGATTTGGATATAAAATATTAGAAATAGTCTTTTTTTTATTAGATTTAAATAAAATTTTGACTCTTAACCGTACACAATGGAGAAAAAAGATTCATATAACTGACCCCGCATAGTTGAGATAATTGATTGATGTTGTTGTTATTGTTGTTGTAATGTATTGCTAAAGAAATCACCCTCACTAGAGGTTTGTTATCGATTTTTTTTCATTGAGTCAAGCTGGTTCGTAAGTCGGTTTGAAGCTAACTCATTAACGAGCTTATGTGCTGAGTTTATTGACCCACGAGTTTAAACTCAGACCTATAATTTAGCTCACATATTATACAAGATAAATCACTCATATTTAAAAATAAATTTCATATCCCAAAGCTCTCAATTTTTTAGGATTAGTTAGTAATTATTTTCTTACAAAAAAATAAATTATAAAATTATAATTATAATAAAATAAATAAATTAGAAACCATATAAGTATGTACCTTTTTTTTTTCTTGCAAGCAAAGAAAAGAAATATGATATACTAATTTCTACATTTACAACTAATCTTCTCCCATATTCATATTTCACTAAATGAACTTACTACTATAAGATTAAGGCTTCGTTTAGGATGACTTTCTTACTATTCATTAAAGCAGCTTTTTAGTACATAAAATTTAATTTTTATACTAAAAAGCTGCTTTAAGAAGAACTAAGAAAGTCATCTCAAATGAAGCCTAAAAAATCCTTATCTTTTTGACCCAATCGAGAAATCATCGTAACCTAAAAAAACTCTTCTTATTAGGCAAGCACAACTCAACACTAATGATTACAACAAAAATAGCAAAAAATTAGCAAAAATTCAAAGAATGAAAATTAATTCTTGTTTGGCTTAAATCCATAGGTTAATCTATAGACTTGGCTTAAATGGTTTGGGAGCTCATGCAAACTATGCTTTGAGAGAGGGAATGAAAGGCTTTGGCTTGGAAAATTTTTTTAGTCCTTTAAAGTGTTAATCAATGAGTATCTATGATTCCATGTAATCATTAATTCATCCCACCAACTACAAACAAATTTTAAGAAACTTTGTTGGTCATAACCTAAAAATTGATATTTATATAATCATGTTTATGATACTAAATTGTATGTAGGGGTGTCAAAACGGGTCGGCGGGTCATGTTCGAGTCGAACCCAAGTTAATTCGGGTTCAAATGAGTTAACCTGAATCTGACCCAATTTTGCATACGGGTCAGAATATCCAACTCGGACCCGACCCGTGCAGGTTATAGTGTTGACTCGACCCAACTTGCAAAACTAGATGAGAACAGGCGAGGCCATTGAGTGTTGAGGCGGCAGTCGGCACGACAGCATGCAAGGCTAGCTCGGATTGAGGCGGTGCCGGTGTGGCATGTGGGTTGCAATCTAGGACTTGACGTTGCACTGCGGGCAGCACGCGAATGGCCTGTGAACGACACTCAAACGACAAGCCGATACCGATGGCTGCGTCTGCACACGACTAGACAATTGGCATGACCATCAGGCCCAGACGCAACGAGACTAGACACAGACAAATGAGCTAATGCAACTAAATGCTGTCTCATTTTAGGGTAAAACCCGAGTTGATTTCGGGTTTATGGTGCAACTCGAACTCGACTCGATTTTACAAATGAGTCAAAAACTCCAACCTGAACCCTATAGCAAATGGGTTGACTATAAATCGAAATTTTCATGATCAGATCTAGTTCGGGTCAGATTTTGACACCCCTAATTGTATGTATAATAAGTTGAAATTAAAAAAAAAATTATCTACTTATAATATGTATGATTTATCAATCATACATAAGACTTCAAACATCAGACCTTCACCTAATCATCATCATCAGACCTTCAACATCAAAACACCATCGTTTAACCATTGGGTTTTGGCAGAACTTTTGAATACAGCTACAGTGGAATTACCCACACTTCCTCTCCCTCTTCTCCTTCGTCTATCTTCTGCTTGCTCTGCTTCCTCTTCCTTTTCTCTGTTTTGCAGGTTCCCTCGGTTTTCACACCAATACCAACATCAAATTGCAGTTGTTTGACCTTCTTGACCACCTTCATCTGACCTTCGTTATCTAACCACCACCATCAGATCATTGCTTGGCCATCGTTGTTGGAAAACCATCCAAACATCATAGTCGAACCTTCATTATTAGTTGCCCAACCACATTCATCAAACTATTGCCATCGCAAGACCACCAACATCAAACTTCCACTATTGGACCACCACCCGACTATCACATAATCATCATCATCAGACCTTCAACACCAAAACACCGTCGTTATGCCACTGCTTGTCCTTCTCCATCTAGCCAACCTTAACAAAATACCATTACTTAACCACTGTCGTAGGGCCACTGTCATCGCCAAACCACCAACATCAAACTACCGCCACCCAACCGTTAAAGTTGGGCAATCATTAGTGATCTCATTTTGAGTATGCAAATAGCTTTAAAAGATCCGGCAACTTCAATTCCGAGTTCTTCGATGAGTATATCTTCTCTTCTATTAACTTCAATTTTAAAGCAAATTTGATTTAGAACACTTCAATAGAATACTTTTTTTTAAGGGTTTAAAGTTGTGCAAACAACGAAAATAAAACCAAAATCAAACACAAACAGTCACAAAAATAATAATTTACGTGTTTTAACGAAGATGTCTACAGCCACAGAGAGTGAATGATTTCACTAATTTAGAAAAATAAATAGAAATTACAAGACTCTCGAAGCACAAAATAAAAAAATAGCATTAAAATATCAAATTTGTCTCACACTGCAACAACATCTTATATGACAATCATTTCTGACAAAATCACACCAAACATGCAGGATCAAGATTCAACATAAGAAAATATTTGTATTATTATCAGTCTTTGCAGCAGCGGAAGAGAACATATTTCTCCATGGGACGCTTGCACTCAGCACAAACCACCTTCTCCTGAATTTGTCCTGTGTCGCCTGGAAGAATCAGGCGCGTGCAGTGCTCGTGTGTCTGATAAGGCAGCAGAGCCTTCGCCAGCGCCGGTAAGAACCCCTCAACCTCCACGTCGGCCTTCCAGTTTTCGAAGTCCAGCAAGCAATCATGGAGCTTTTTACCATGGGACTTCAACATCTCAAACGAGCCATGGCTGATTATAGCCCATCCTTCATCGCCACCGCCGAAGCTCAGCATATGCATCACCTCCTGCATGATTTGGTCTTCTTCAACGTTTCTACCGTGCTGCATCATCGAGTACCACATGCTCTCCAGCCTCACCCAGAAGAACCAAACCATGGCGGGATCGTCCCAGTAGCTACTCAGCTTCTCCTCCTTGATGATTCCTATCGCCTTCTTGATTCCTTTCGGGTTGCTCTTCCCTACATAAACCATTTCCAGTGGCACTTTGGCTTCATGTGCCACGTACTTTAGCTGCTTGGTGAAATGCCTGATCCAGTCTATGTCTTCTCCTCCGTAGAGGCAAACATGCTTACCTTCCCTGATCCAGGAAAGAATGGTTTGGTCAATCTCATCGATTAGGAGCTCCAGCTTCCAGGTTTCTTCCTTCCATAAAGCCTCTTCTCTACTGCTAGTAAAAGGAAAGGCCAGGCTTCCCCATATCCAAATCATGTGGATTGCATTGGGGCAAACAACCTTTCCTTGAGGATCTAAGACCACCAAAATTGGCTTCTTTTCAAAATGCCAGACCTTCCTTATGTACCTGATGACTGCAGGTTGAAGAAGAGAGGGATGGTGCAGTATGTACCATGGCATATTTGAGGCTAATCTGTTGAAGTCATCTTCTCTCTTCTCTGTCCATGGCTGGTCTCTGTCTGTAACTGGCAACCAGACTATCTCATAGTTCCTTTCAGTCTTGCTATGGTGGATATCTTGATATATCTGAACGAGAATGAAGAGCTCCTCATGGCTAATATCGAGGTCGCTTATGAAAAGCATAACGATTTTCCTTCTCAGCACATCAACACCAACTCTCTTCTTTCTGAAGCAATCAAAGAGAGCAAGATCATCTTTGGAATAGATTAGAGCCCTGAGGATCTTCAAGTTGTCTATGTGGATGGTCTCGAAGAGCCTAACCAGAGTTTGATAGGCTTCGTGATGTCTCTTTCCATCTGCGCATTTCAGAGTTGTTATGATCTGATTCGAGTTGAAAGAATGCATTGTACAATCTACTCACCAATGTATTTGTTGCAGAGGTCAAGTTGTTTGGTGAGGTGGCCATGTATGTTTGCTAGTTTGTGAGCTATGGTGGAGAGCTCCCATGCCTCTGTTGTTGAGCTGATGTATCTGAAAAAATTAAAGATTACAACACTTTAGCTCACTCAGGGGTGTCAAAATTTTTAACACGACCCGAAAATCAGATTCGAAGCCGACCCGAAAATTTTGGGTTAGGGTCAACCCGGACCCGAAACGGCTCGGGTTCAACTATTCGACCCGTTTTAAAAAATCGGGTCGGGTTCAAGTTAACCCTTTGACCCGAAAGTGACCCGAAATTGACTTATTTTTTTACCCGAAAACCCATTTTGACCCGGAAACTCGAGTTTGACCTGTTTTTGACCCATTTTTACCCGAAAAATGAAGTTTGACCCATTTTTTGACCCTAAAACTAACATTTTTTCACGGTTTTGGGTTTGACCCAGATCTGAAGCGGGGTCTGTTTCGGGTTCGAAGAACTGACCTGTTTGAAAAAAAAAAACGTGTCGGGTTCGGGTTATCCCAAATAGTGCCATGGTCAATTTTGGGTTCGACCCGAACCGGACCCGTCACTCGAAATTGACACCCCTAAGCTCACTAAAAGTTCAGCTCGTTTACACCACTTCTTGTAGATGTTAGAGCTTACTCATGGCCGATTCCGATGAGACCAATAGTCTGGGAAATACAGGCAACGACGCCTCTAATGACCCAATAGACAGCAGTGGGGATATGAGCCATGGCCATGGTCACGTCAGGAGAGTCCGAACTAATATAATCAGAAGGAAGTTCAGTGAATTCTATGATGGATTTGGTGACACTGAGCATGACTGTAACGAGCTTGTTAATGGCGTCGAACCGAGCTTTGAGAACATCTGTGTGCTCAATGATGTCTGGAATCTGCTTCAGAAGAGCCAAAGATTTGGCTAATGGGTTCTCCGCATGGAGCTGCGCAGTAAGCCAGAACTCGCCATAGTTGACTGCTAAGGCTGCCAAAGCCATTACTGCTTTGGCATCCCAAGTGAAGGTGGAGAGAGTGTGGAAGACGGCCATGGTTGTTGAATGGGCATCTCCAGCACCAGAGCATTTGAAAGTCACCTGAAGCAGGAAGAAGAACTTTGTATGAATGATGAAGAAATAGAAGTAATTCAGGATGTGCAGTGAAGAAACCTCATAAGAGATTCTGTGAACAGTGAATGCAATGGCTTCCAGCATTGGAGTAAGTCCTGTGTGTTGTGTGGCCTCATGAACTGGTTCTAGTTGATTTTGGTGGGTGGTTGATGTCTGCACAGAGAAGAATAAGCTGAACAGAGATGTTCTACAGAAGAAGCAAAGTTATAATTGAAAATTCAATTTTTAGAAAAATAAATGGGTCTTTTTTAATTTATAGCCGCACAGGTCTACTTAGGTTGAAATTATTCTGTGCGGAGTAGGAATGTAGCTTGTCTCCGTACTCCTATCAAAACTGGCCACGTCGCCTGTACACAATACAGGAGTCGGAATGTAGCTTGCCTCCGGACTCCTATCAAAATTGGCCACGTCGCCTATACACAATACAGGCTGTGTATAGGCAACATGGTCAATTTTGATTGGAGTCCTGAAGCATTTGGGCTCCGCGCAGAATAATTTCTTCTGCTTGGGACGGCTACAACATTTTGTAAAGGTGCTTATGAAGTTGTAGAAAAGCAAAACCACGAGAAGGCTGCCCTAAAAAGATGCTCAATTTATTTTTAGAAAACAAATTTTAGGTGTTTTAAGTATAGAAAATAATTATTGGAATTTTAACAAACAATAAATTTTTGACATGAGTTAAATGAGGGAAGTTCTTATAAACTATGAGAAATAATGATTATCTAAATTGGGAGGAAATAAATTTATATAAAGTAAATTAAATGAAAATATAAATATACATTTAAGGATATAGTCTTTTTTTTTGTAAATTTCACTCAAAGTTAAAAATGTACAGCCTTTAATGATAATAACAAGATATTAAAAAAATATAAAATACATAATATTATAAGAGTTATCATTAGAAAGAATTATGACATAAAATGTGAAATAAAATGAAATAATTAAAATAAAATAATATGTTTTGAAAAAATAATACAAACAGAAAATATAAAACAAATTAAAAATTAAAATAAAAAAGAAATTACTAAATAGAGAAAAAATATTAAGTAATATTTAAAACAAAAGTGAAATATTTTATAAATTAATTCAAATTCTGAATTTTAAAATGAATATTATTTTAATTTTGAAAAATTTTGTGCCATAAGAAAAATAAATACTTTTAAAATTTATTGAAAAATAATTAATATAATTATTTCATTTTATAAAATCGTTATATTTTAAAAAAATTATATAATTGGCAGAATAAATAACATAAAAAATTTATAATTAGAAATATTTTAAGCCCAATTTTATTAAAATATTATCAGAAAAAAAAAATAATTACTAAAATTTTGTTGTAATCATAATTAATTAAGGTATTTTTTGAGACATTAAGGTTTCGTTTGGAACGACTTTCTTACTATTTCTTAAATCAACTTTTAAATATAAAAATTTTAAATTTTAAACTAAAAAGTTGATTTAAGAAGCAATAAAAAAGTTGTCCCAAATGAAACTTAAGTTACTTTTTATTACAAAACTTTTTAATTTATGATTTTTTGTTTAAAAAAAATGTTTTAAAAGCAGTAAGAAAGCTGCCGCAAACAGTACCAGAACGAACGAAGGATTGGCTCTCTGCAAGACTTCTTCCACCACATAGAGAACAGGCCGAACATCTAAGTCTCTCCCTTCAGGTGAATGAGTCTGCTGAATCTGCTTCATTATAATATTATCATCTGATGAAGAGAAGAGATGGCGTTCTCCCTTTATGGCGTGAAGCTTTTGAGCTGTGCTTGCGGCCATTAATGGCGTCGCTGCCATCTTCTTCTCAATGTTGCTTGAGAGCACAAGAAGTAAGAAGGTTGGTTGATGGTAGTAATGGAAGCTGCTGGTCTGGAAATAAATAGGAAGGAAGGAGGTAACAATGGGAATATATAAAGAGCAAAGTGGTGGAGCTGTCATTGCTTGAGGAATGAGGGATGCTGTTAAGGACCAGCTTTAGTGCTTTGGGATTGCTTGTTAATGGTGCTCTTGGCTTGTTGATACAGTCCTTTAAGTAAATTTAGATGGTTACTTATTTTAGTAGTAGGGATATAGTGATGTGAATGATTGGGTTAGGCGCTACAGGAAAATCGCTAATTACCGGCGGCTTTCCGGTAAACTATTTTCCGACAGATTTTCTTGTAGTGAGGCATGCAATTGGGTAGATCTAATTTAGGGGAGCGGAGTCAAGCCGGCTCGAGGTGGGCTCGTTAAATGGAGGTTGTGATCTGAGCTAACAAGTCAAACCTAAGTCTGCTCTTTTAAAGAATATTACTATAAAATATACTTAAAATATGTTAGAATTTAGGAATTTGAGTATAAGGTTATTATAAAATTTAAAAGTTATATCTCAAACTTTTTATATCAAGTGATTCTTTATTATGTATCTTATAGTTTTTCTTTTTTTTTTTTCTGATTTTATTATATTAATTACTTGAATGATAATCATTCTCTCTTTTGTTGCAAACAAGCTAGCTGGCTAGCAAGCTAGCTTGAACTCATAAAATTAAACTCGATCTTGAAATTGATTAATTAATCAAACTCAAAGCTTAAGCTCGGGTGACTCGAGCTTGACTCTGATCGCTACACCCCTAATCCAAATGGTTCCGTAGGTGATTAATGAGTATAATATAGGTTTGGGTTTGGGCTAGGCCACCTAAGTATCAATTTCTAAGCTAAAATGGTGGTGATATCAAGGTTTAATTGGCCTGGTCAAACCTTATTAGTCCCAATAGTAAGCAAAGTTCTAATTGGGCTATATTGAGTTTAATCTAAGCCAATTACAAGGAGTTTTTAAGCTAGATTATGCAATAAAGTGGTTAGAATCCTTGGGTGCTTAGATAGCAAATTAGGATTAACTCATTTGGGATTAACTAGTTAAACCAATTTAATTCAAGGCTATCATATCCTAATAGTCTTATTGGGAGGATGTTGGCTACCTAAGAAATATGTAGGCTCAACCAATTTGGCTTAAGCATGGTTCAATTGGGCCATTTTTTTCAATTGGGTCTATTCGGGTTCGCTAACCTGCTCCGTGTTTCTACCATCTACTAAGGTGATTATGATATTTTGGGAAATGAATACATACATACATATATATATGTATATTAATCGATAGTTTAATTTATGTTGCTCTTAGATAGCTCGGGTTGTGAAAATTAAAAGTAAAAAAAAAATTCTTCCAATTTAAATTCTGGGGCATCACAATGATCACTTTAGAGCTTGGGCTAATCTTTCTATCTAAGTGGGTTAATAAGCTCCCATGAGCTTAATTAGGTTCTACTTAGGTCTAGCTTGGGTTAGCCACAAATGACTAAGCTCTAGGCTCGTGTGGCTTCCTATAGATAGATGTATAGGGTTATTTAGGCCATTTAATGAAATATTCCATCGCCTAGTTTGATTTGGGTCAAGTTAATTAAGCTAATGCTTATGTTATTGTTAGAATGAATAAGGCTCAATCCGTCACATATGAGATCATCTAAGCTTAAATAAATGTGGGACTAAGCTCTAATTAGCTTGGGCTTCGAGTTTTTTTACTGCTTTCTAAAACAGATTTTTAACACAGATTTTAGTTTAAATTTTTTGTATACTTGAAAGTTGTATTAAAACGCAGTAAGAAAGTTGTCTCAAACGAAGCTCGATCGAGTCTTAAACAACTTTGAAATAAATCAATTGAAATTATATTAAAATAAAGTTTAGAAGATTTCATTAAATAGGATATAGAATCATACATATTAATCAAAGTATAAAGTTAATAAAGCCCAAAATTATTTGAATAGGCCTTCCATTGAAGATATGAAGAAAATTGAAATTATGGCAAACATTTTCTTTTTAAACTCATGGAAGAGAGGAAATGGGTGATTTTTTAAAAAGGAGCTCAATCAATATGAAATTTACAAAAAAAAAAAAAAAAAGTGTTTCCTTTATAAAAAAAAAGGAGCTAGTCACCCATTGAATGGAACTTTTATTTGGTCCGGTGAACGGACATAGAGCTCACTGAGATCGTGCCACGTAGCAGGCACAAAACCGCGGACCCAACCCGGCGAATAGTGGGTATGTCGCACGTGTGTTTTTTAAATCCATGACAACCCGTTATTGCTATGTATTGCTCGGTATTACTAGGTATTTATCGATTTTGCTCGGCAATAACAAGAAATACCATTATGTGAAGACAAATACCGAGCAATATTTCTCGTTATTGCCAAGCAATACCTAGCAATACCGAGCAATACCGAGTAATACCTAGCAATACGTAAACATAGCATTCCCGGATTCCAGTCCGGGTCAAGTCGTCGGGCCGCGCGGTAAAGAGTAAGAACACGTGGCGCGATCTCAGTGGTGACCGCACGTAAAGCTACGTCCGGTCACCGGACCTAATAATAGTTCCATTGAATGGGTAGGCATGGCCGGGCCAGGCCGGCCCCACTAACATGCCATCATATTAGGGCAAAAATTGAGTTTATTAATTTTATTCTTAAAAAAATTCAACATATTCATAATTTTAAAATAATTAGAATTTTCCTAATTTTCAAAATTATTATCTTTTAATTAAAAAATCAAAATTAAATCATAAAAATTTCAAATTTATTATTTTAACATAATATATTAAAATAAGTAGAGAAGAAAATTTCCTATTAAATATCTATAAGTTCATAAAAATTTTAAGAAAAATAAAATAACTTATACAATGGTTGTTTATTAATAATAAAAATTTCTATGTATATTACACAAACATCATTTATTCGCAGTCTCTCGTTGAATAATAATGCACTATTATCATCATTTACATTATGCAATCATTTCTTCCAGAAATATTTAGATCAATTAAGATAAATTCACATAGACATCTCATATACAAGCTATATATATATATATATATATATATAGCAATTTTATATTAACTATCATTTTTTCATAATAGATAAGTCAACTCCTGTGCCAAGTTGAAGATATAAAACGAGCTCGAGCTCGAGCTCATATTCGATTAACTAATCATGCTCAAATTCAAGCAAGGCTGACTCGAGCTGAACTCAATTCCTTTACACCTCTAGCCTAATTTGACCAACATCAAGGTATCTTAAGCATGGTAGGGGATCACCATCAAATCAGAACTTGAATTGATTAGCAATAATCTGATCCAACAGATCAACTTCAACTCATCAAGACACTAACCACAATTCAAGCTCATTCATGCCAGAAATTTCATTCTCATAGTGAAACTAAAGCTTCATTCGAAACGGCTTTCTTACTGCTTATTATAGCAGCTTTCTAAGAAACAGTAAGAAAGTCGTCCCAAATGAAGCCTAAGTTAGCTGTTTTCTCACATACTGAAAGATCTCCATCATTAGAAGCAATCTGAAAGCTTGCAAAATAAGCATCTGCAGGCTTAAAAATTTAAGCTCTGCAAATCTTCCATACAATTGATCAAAATCATTAATATAGAATGCTTGTAGCATAAAATTAAGCTCTGGAAACAATTCTTTGCTTATGTTTGTAAAATCAAAATCACCAAAACAGATTGTTCAGATAAAATCTAAACCTGGAAGACAAGCAAAATACTCTCCATATATGCCCAGAAAGGACTTTGAATGTACTCAAAATCATCCTACTTAGGAATAGGCAAATGTAGGAAAAAGAAAACAGTCAATACAACATAAGCTATAAAACTAACTGACACATGCAAGGCTCAAATGCTGCCAATCAAGCTAACCCAACTTGCGAAGAATACTCGGTTCGCCGCAACTAAAAAGATCCCCGTCGAGGTCTTTCCTCCGCCACATTCACTCGAATAGCTCTGCCATCCAAAGTCTGCTTCGCCATGAAAGCAAGGATTAAGAAGTCAGCAGATAATTGAATCCTTAAACATAAATATCCAAAAACAATTACCCAAACCCACAGAGCATACTTGCCAAATAGGCAATCTAGTTAAATGGTTCACTTTATGAGCTAAAAAGGAAGATGCTAATAAGAGGAAAAAGGAAGTTGCCGTTACAAACCAGAGGAAATATGACTCACCTGTCCATCGAGAGCATCAATTGCATCTTCATGTTCACTCTTGGAAGCCATTGTCACAAAGCCAAAACCTCTTGAACGACCGGTCTCTCGATCATAAACAACCCTAGCAGTTACAACTTTACCATGTTTACTAAAAATTTGCTCAAGGCGAGCATCATCCACTTGCCATGGCAGGTTCCCAACATATATCCTAACAGAAGAAGGCTCAAACTCTCGAGGCTGTCTTTCTCTTTCAGGAATGGAACCTCTAGGAGTTGCTTTATTAACTGACAGAAGCCTTCCATTGCAATCCTGAAAACAACGCACAACAAACAGTTTTAATCATCATATTCTTTTCATGAATAAACACAATTCATTATTTCCTAAAACATCTTAATAAGGCACAGACAACCAGAAACATAACACAGAAAGTCTAACATTGAATGCAAAAAACTAATTTTGAGGCCTTGGTTTAGCAAATGTTGATTTGCTTAAAAGGGCGGGCCAACCAATCCTTGAAAGGAAGGTAAAACCACTCTTTTGAATTCATCTAAATGTAATTTGAAAGAGAGAGCGGGCCAATGCATTGAATCAATACAACTTGCTTTAAATTTTATGAAAGCTTGATGATGATCTTCATATTTAATGTAGGTGCTTGGTTGTAATCTTGGACAAATTTGCATGAATGTTGAAGCTAGGCTGCATTAATAGCGCTCTGATTCATTGATTAATAACATATTAACATCATATATGCTCCAATACTCATCCAATCAACAATTTATAGCATCTTTCCTAAGATTCAAAATAGGATCAATTCATAGGTAGAAAATGATACCAACTATTTTGAAGGGTCCTACTCCCTTCCATAACTATTAAATACTAACTATAATCTTCAAAAAAGTGTCTCTTAATCCAATTACACAGTTGTAACCACTATAGGATAGTGGTCATGAAGATCTTCGAAATGTTTTTAGAAACTTAACTTCATTAGTACTGCAACTATTTGAGATAAGAATTATGAATCTTTTTTTTTTTTTTACCATTGAGTGTTGTCTAAGGAGTTAAAACATTTTATTCGCAAACTATTTTAAAGAATTATTATCCATGTAATCTTAGATCAACACATTTTTTCTTCTTAATCCTCTAAAATTATATTTATCATATTATTTAATGGGTGCACTTTCTACCTTTCGTTGCAAACATAAAAATCACTTGAGTCAAATTTCAATCACTTTATATTCAATAGATATCATGTTAATATAAAAAAAAATCATAATTTATCCTTCTTATTTTTGCCATGCATTCATCTTAATATTCTCACCATCTCCTCCCCCCCCCCCACCCCCACCCCCCCACACACACACAAACCGCAGCTTAGATATCAATGATTTTTGTTGCATGTAAGGACCTAAATTGAATAAAAAAGGGACTTTCTATTATATCAATTTTCCATATCCAACACAAATTGTTAGTTGTAGCACTCAAGCTCAATAATCCACTAGGAATTTGCTCATTAATCCATTAGGATTTCAAGACCATGCATTGGCTTATAAAAACTTTATGGAGAACCATTGGTCTAGTAAAAAAATATCCTACTACACTCTTCTAACTGTCATCATCACTTGCTAAAGCAGCCAAGGAAGAATTATTTTTCAAATAGGAGTCAATAATGATGCTTGTTTTTTCTTATCATCCACGGTTGAATTGACCTCAATAGAAGAGCCATTTCACCCATCACTAACTTGTAAAAGATCTTTATCATAAAACTTTGTTCATCCAAAAAAAATACTACGTTACTTTTTGATGCAGCAAGCCACTTGATCATTTGCCTCAAATGTTGTAAGATCCATAATCACACATGGAAACCACATCATCTCCATAAAATTTGAAAAAAATCATTAAATTTCTATAGAATAATGAGCTAAAAAAACTTAAAACAATCATTGTATCAATGGTTTATGATCCAACACACATCTTCAATAAACCTTGCAATTTCTAATAGTTCGAATTTTTCTTTTATGTAAGGCTAGAACCAAAATAAAAATTTAATTATATGCATACAGATTGCAACTTTATTAGCACCCTAGTGTTTTTTTATGATTATTTGATATCCAATATATGCTTTTTCAATAGCATGCATGATGCTGACACCAAATGCAAGTGATCCAAGTATCCAAACAATCCCTGCTACATAATAACCATATGCTTTGTTTGGTAGTATTGTATTGTGCTTTGGCACATTTCGTGGAGATGTACAAAATAAGGATGTAAGTACTTCGAAAAATATGGACGAGATGTCTCTAAAGCGCATTTTCTATGATCATGAAGTTGTGTAGAGGGTGGTAAGAATTTATACTATAAGTCATATAAGTAAAAAATTGTGATTTGACAAGTTCATGAAAAGTAATGTAGTTGGAACACATCATCAAAGAAGCATATGCAATGGTAGCAACATGGCCTATTTAACTTATTATGATTCACTTGTGGCTTAGTGCATTCAAAAATTGATCAACAAGCTACTTGTAATAAAGATAAGAAATCACATGAAATAACCCAAAGGTTAACAATTATATAAAAATCAATTTCAAGCTAGGCCAAACGAGGAAGAACGAAAACTTCTTAGCACATAAAGAATATTACATGAAATTTGAATGCTTTTGCTTAGCAAAAAAATTTGAAGGCTTACATAGCGATTGAACATTTCCACAGCTTTCTCAGCTTCTTCAACATTGCTCATGTTGACAAACCCAAAACCGCGACTTTGGCCAGATTCCCGGTTGTAAATTACCTATAATGCAAGAAAAATAATGATAACCTTTTACACGCTTTCTAAACCTAATTTACTAAAACAATCAAATACATAGTACAACAAGAAGGCAAGGATTCATCATCACAACATAATCACAACATCAGCCTAAAATCCATCTCCAACCCCTACTTGCACTCAAATCCGAACAGTTAAAAATGTGCAAAGAAACTGTAACAGCAAAAGAGGCTCTTGTTTAAGTAGGCGAAGGGAATAAAATAAAAAAAATTGTCCCATTACTCATAGGGACTGTTTGGTTGCAAGATTTAGCACAGGATTTAGACTAAATCCTGCGCTTTAGGATTTAATTCTCTTATGAAGGAGAAGAAGATGCAAGGATAAGCTGTTTAAATCAAGTTAAATCCTATAATGTAACAAAAATAGAACTTAACAAAATAAGAAAACAGGCCAGGAACAGCAAAAGAGCAGGATTTATAAGAGATTTACACAACTTATCTGCAAATCTTATTCTCCTTCAATCTTCAGAATATCTGAATCAATTTACTAGGATATAACTAGATTTAACGCCTCCCTAAATCTGGATTTACAAGAATTACTAAATCCTACTTGTAGCCAAACAGCCCCTTTTTAAAAAACAAGAAAAATCATTGTACTACATAATCCAATACAATGCATAGCATCAACATTAATGTATAAGGATGCAAAAAAATCAACTCAAGTAAGCAGATTTACCTCAGCAACCTCAACGATTCCAGCCCTCTCGAATAAATGGGCTAACTTCTCGCTATCTACGTCATAAGGGAGATTCCCTACGAAAAGCTTAGCTTCCTCGGGGGGCTCAGGGAAAGAATCATCCTCTGCTCCCTCCAAAAACCCCTCATTCACTGAGCCATCTCCTTCAGCTTTGACCTCTCTCACACCCTCCGCCCCTTCTTGGCTCTCCCCTTCCCATTCTGAAAGCCCATCCTCCGGCCCTTCCCCATCCAACAACCCAAACTTCTCATTCTTGCCTTCCCACTCAAAATCTTCTTCCCCTTCTGCGCTCTCCTCAACCTCCTCCTCCTCCTCCTCTTGGCGCGCCCAATCGGAGGTCCGGGCTACGAGGGAAACAACCAAAGGAACCTTCTTTTTTGCTAGGGAAAGCTCGAACGTGGTAAATGAAAGCGAAACAGAAGAGCAGGAGAGGCGGTGGAAACAAATAGGTTTTGTGCGGAAGGGAATAAGACCGTGGGACGATGCTTTGGAGCCGAATGGAGCAGTGAGAGTCGCGAGACAGCTGTCTGCCATGGCGAGCTGAAGCGCTGGAGCTGCGGCCATGGCGAGAGCTAGAGAGGAGGCGATGAGAAGGGGGAGAGGATAAGGAGAGTGAGAGAGCGGATGTATTTATTTGGACAAAAGTTTAATCATTTAGGTTTTATATATATATATATACACACATTTTTATTATTCATATATTTTCTATCATCCCACCTAGACTTATTAAAATTTATTTAAATATAAAAAAATTATAAATTCATTTTTTTTTATCAAATTCTTAATTTTTTTATGATGCCAAGCTTAAAAATATTAAGATCTTATTTTTGAAGGACTTTATTTTATTAAATTCTCAATGAAAATATTCATAATAAGCTGTAAGTGGATAAATGTTGTCAAAGCTAGACTAATGCTTTCTAATATATCCTACACAGTCATGCTTGACCTTATATGGCCCGGATTAATTAGTAACTATTGTTGTCCCAAATTATTTAATTTGATCTTTTTAATTTAAATAGTTCATCTGAGTCTAAGTCAACTCAGGCTCGATCATAATTGACCTAACATTGTCACATAATACTCAATAAGGCTCTCATTAGCACAAGATGATCTTCGCTGGCCTAAATACTTTGAATTTGTGTAACACGATCATGATGGTTTGACAACCAAAGTGATGATAATTAACTAAATTTGGTATCAATTAACTTAGGTTGTTCAAGTTAACCCAAATTTGTCATAGCTCAAATTTTCCTAGTTTAATCTATCCAATTTGTCGAACCCTTTGGCAATGGCTATTCCAAGGTTATATGTGGATGCATCATTGACATTCGTAATGATTTTGGTCATAAGGCCCCTTAACCATTACCTTGAAGCCACAAGATTCGATTGGTCGATACTTGCCTTGGTTGGAAAAGATACTGCAACATCATTAAAAGATGTTACTAATATGTTAATACAAAATGATCTCAGTCCTTAGACAATGGTAAGTTATTGATCTATAGAGGGTCGAAATAGGTTGAAGGGTTAGACTTGGGCTTGACCCAAATTGAACCAATATGAACCCTAGCATTTCGAGTATGACTTGTTTAATGAATATGTCAAGAAGGTGGAACCGAGCCGACTTATCGGAAAGCCAGATGGCCCGAACTCAACTTAATAGTGCATTTTGATTAAAAAGTGTGCAACTTGTCAACTATATGCTTGGATTAATTGAACAAAAGAAATGTAAACCAAAAGACAAAAGAATTTAAGGGAAAAAGAAATTAAGCATGTCACTATGAGGTCATAATCAGATTCGTGTGTTGACCTAAACTCGATCCACCAATTAAATGAAGCAAAATTTCAAACCCAAACTTGACTTGTTTATTAAATTAATCAACATGAAAATCATAAAATTTTTATGTATTTGCATTTCTAATATGAAAATATTTAAAACTACCTATATAAAACTCAAATTTCTAAATTACATAAAAGATATTACAAATATTAACTTATTTAAAGAAAACACACATTTTTATGCATATACTTTAACATTAGTTAAATGTTAAAGTGATATATAAATGAAAATAAAAATAATATATTTATGTAAATAATATGTTAATGCATAAAATTTTGTGGTATATATATGAATCTCAAAAATTAAAATTTAATTTTAAAATATCACAAAAAGTTTTAACATTTCTTGGTTTATTTTATTTTATTTTTATTTTTTTGAGGGTTTGGACTTTAGATAATACTGCTCAGCTAGCAATATAAATGATATATTATCATCTGACTGTAACAACTTAAATATATTATTTGAAAAATAAAAGAATATAAATTATAATATAGCTTATTAAATTATAATTGGATGATTAAAATAAATCTCATAATTATCAGATAATTAAAAATATCATGATTAATTTTCAATAAAGTTTATAAAGTTTTTTATATAAATCAACATATTAGACTGTAAATATATTTCTAGCCAAATTTAAAAAAGAATAATACATTAAAAAATGATTACATAAAATAATCATGAGAGAAAAATATACTGAGATGAAATTATGAATATAAGTTATTTGAATAAATAAAGTAGAGATAAAAAAAAAAAGCATAATTGAGAAGGAAGCAAGATATGTCAAATTTAATACGAAAAAAATAATTGGTCGATTTAATCTCACAGTATCATGCTACCCAATTTGATTCCTCATTCATACAGATATGTCCAATATAATTCATTTGAGACAAATTGGGATCAATTTTATATCATAATTACAACATGAGGAACTATTTCAAGTCAATTTTATACCGTCGAGAGACTAAGGATTCGTTTGGGATGACTTTTTTACTGCTTCTTAAAATAGCTTTCCAATAAAAACAATAAAATTTTTGTACCAAAAAGTTACTTTATGTAATAAGAAAGCCGTCTCAAACGAAGTCTAAGGCTTTATTTGGGACAACTTTTTCACTGCATCTTAAAACAGCTTTTTAGTATAAAATTTTTATTTTTATTTTGTTGTACTAGAAAGCTGCTTTAAGAAGCAGTAAAAAAACCGTCACAAAAGAAGTCTAAGACTTTGTTTGGGATAACTTTCTCACTGCATCTTAAAGCAGCTTTTTAGTTTAAAATTTTTTATTTTTTTACTAGAAAGATGCTTTAAAAAGCAATAAAAAATTCGTCACAAACGAAGTCTAAGACTAGATACTCTCAAAAGTAATATGAACCTAATGATGATGAAGAATAAGATTATTGAAGGATGAATTGTAGAAGCTTTCACATCTTCATGATCTTATAAGGCATCTCTAATCCAATCACTTTCAAGTGAAGAGTCTATAAGAGGTCTAAAGTCAGAACTCATTGCCAAAATCTACTTTTTCTTCACACAAATTAAACAAAAAAAAAAACAAGAAATATCATAGTAAACCATTGTTATTTTGATTAAAATTAATTAGAACAAACCTCCTATCTTCACCTTATAGGCTTAGATACAGAATGATACCTTATACTCCATTGGAGGCCTGCAACAAGATCATATGTGCCAGAGCCATAGTTACAGGCACCTTATCCTTCACAAAAACAGCCAAAATCATCTTCAAGCTGTTTGTTCTGTATCAGAAATCATCTAACTTATCTCAAATATTTGTCTCTCATTCACCTGATTCATGTCTGCTTTCTGTTCTCTTGTGAAAAGAAAAGAGATGAGTTAAGAACTGCTCTGGCTCCTCTCCCTCTTTAACTATCTGCAAGCAGAAAGAGACAAGATTAGCACCCATTATAAGCAATGAAGACTCGACGACAAATGAAATAATGATTTGACTTAGCTTTTTCTTAGATTTGTTTTTTTAGAGCTATTACAATTTTATTTGGCTACATATTTCTTTCTATCATAGAAATTTGATAGTGAGAAGTAATTTTTGTAAATAAGCTTGAGCTCGAGCTCGAGCTCGAGCTCGAGCTTTAATTACAACTCATATATTAAATGAGTTTGGATTCGAGTTTGACAACACTCGACTCTTTAGCTAGCAAGCCGGTTCAATTAGGGTTAGGGTTCAAACTCAATCCTATTTTTTGTTTTGGATAAACGCCGAGCCGCCACTAGTGTCACAAAGGCAAAAAAACAACCCTCATAGACTAACTCAGCATAAGTTTTATGAATTGGAGGAGATGACACAAATGCCTAAACTTTTGAGATTGACATATGTTTCTGAAACTCTTGGGTTCAAGAAATGTGTATGATATGATCTATCACCATAATAAGATGATTTTTAAAGGAGTGGACCAAAAAATCATATGCATAATCATCATAAAATTTATAATGATGATGAGAATCATTAATCTTGAAACATTTGATTATCATTAGAATATTCATAAATGTTAAATGCATGAACATTAGTATGATTTGAAAATAATTTTTAATATCTACGCATCGGGTTTGTTGCGTGATAGAAAAGTCCCCCACAAACTTAAGGAAAATTTCTATAAGATGGTGGTGAGACCTGCAATGCTTTATGGTATAGAATGCTGACCATTAAAAGAGAAGCATAATATTAAGTTAAGTGTGGCAAAGATGAGGATGCTCAGGTGGATGAGTAGCTTTACTTTTAGAGATAGGATACGAAACGAGCATATATGTGAAAAGTTTGAAGTAGCTCTAGTGGAAGATAAGATTAGAGAGAGTCATCTTAGATGATTTGGTCACATAAAATGGTGGTCTTCTGATGACTCGATTAGGAGAGTAGATGTATTAGATTTGGCTTATGCTAAGAAAGGTAGAGGTAGACTTAAAAAGACTTGATTAGAAAATATTAGAAATGACCATTCTTTATTATATTTAAATAAGAATTTGACTCTTAACATGACACAATTGAGAAAAAGGATTCACGTACTTTACCCCACATAGTGGAATAAAGGCTTGATGTTCTTGTTGTTGTATGAGATTATTGATAATTAGAATTAAAGTAATGGTTGTAGACATAAGACCCATTGTGATACAATTCATTATAGTAGTCATATTATTAAGTATAATAATTATAATAATATGTGTAATCATGAGAGTCATATGCATAATTTTTTAATGATTCCTCAGCAATTTCATCTAATATGTTTAGGTAATATTTCAACAAATCATCATATGGCATACACAATGATATCAATTGTCTAATAAATGATGTAAGAAACAAATAATTATGTGTTGCATCTAAACCATGGCCATAATAATAGTGTGCATTCACTACTTAGATGTTTATGTGCTTGATTAAACATGTCAATAAATTCATAACATCAACTCCAAAGCATATAATAAGAATTTTGTAGCTCTACAAATGAATTGCAATTTTTTGATGCAACTCCCAAGCATTGTTTAAAATTGCGCAATATGAGGCTCGCCTCTGCGTAATTCCACAAAAAACGTCTCGAGGCTTACACATAGAACCTTTTTATGAGGCTTGCACCACAACTTGGCTGAGACCCTCCTTGAGAAGGCCTCGCTTGGCTGTTGTGAGGTAGTATGCCTCACCCTACTTATATTTCTTATTAAAACTTACCTAAATCCTAAACTAAAACCCCAAATAAATCACGCCTTAATGCACCCCCGATACACAACAACTTCCTCTCAACTGCCTTGACCTCTAGCATACCACCTTCGTTGCATCCACCACTGTTGTAGCTACCATTAGGGATCAATTGAAAGCCGCACACCACCACCACTTCATTAAGAGTATAACTCTCAGCATTATATTGATGAAAATATTTATGAAAGAAGAAGATGATTGAAATAAATGATGAAAAAGCAGAATTGGAGGCTTGGACTCTACAGGATGAGGCAGATGAGAGACTAATTTGTTATGACAATGACTAAAAAAAAACCTCACTTATGACCGAGCAAATGATTTCTATGTTGTTAACAACTATTTTAGCTTTAATTGTGGGTGAGTAAGGAAGTGAGAAATTAAAGAATGAATTTGAAGTTAAACTTGATGTTATATGATATTTTTATGCAATTCTTATATTATATGTTATTTTCTTCTTGGATTTCAATTCAATTTCACGCAATTTATTACTTGTCATTTTATATCATGTGCATTTTTTTTCATATGTATGTCAATTTATTTCTTCATAGTTCAATAAAAAGCTGATGTGCCATTCTTTAACATAATATTTTGGTATTATATAAAAATCACTTTCAACTTTTATTTTCACTTCACGCAATTACTGGATTTTAAGGCTTACGCCTCGCCTCACGAACAAAAAACGTCTCAATACCCAATATATTGCGCAATTTTAAACTTTGTTCCCAAGAATAATCTATTACAAATACTCAAGAGGATATATATTTTTCTTAGTTTTATAAATATAATGGTGGTGTTGGATGGATGTTTTTAATGGATGGATATAGGTGACTAAGGTTTAGATGTAATTACCATTAAGAAATTCGACTATAATGATATATTGAAGGAGAATTTTTGAAGCGTGGATCACCTTGATTGTTTTCCTTTTCATTCCTTAAAAATATAGTATATTTCTATCTTTTTTATTCCCTTGAAATTAACTAAATTTCTTTCTTTTAATGTCAAAGAACTAGTAAGGAGAGAGCAAATGATTGGTCGAAGAAAAGGGACAATGAAAATTCCCATTAGCTATAGGAGAAAGATGAGGGAGGAAGAAGAAACATGAAAACCATCATGTTTCTTCAAAACTATTGATTTCAATTGTAGAATTCTTGGAGCTTTGTTTATAATTGAAGATCATACCAAATAAAATTAAATACTTAAAATTAATCTAAACCGAAAAAGAATGTCTTTGACCATGATAATTAAAATAATGACAAAGAACAAATCAATAAAAATAAATAAAAAATGAAACTTAAAAACTAAGAAAACATTTAACCCATGTTTGTCCTACATTGATTCCTAATTCTAGAAGCATATCTCATCACAGCACTGATCAAATCACCATAGCTTTAATCATCATCATGTTGACTAGAAAATGACATTCTTGTGATGAAATTGAGGGATGAAATAGAAATTTTGCAAAAGACTTGAACAAAAGCATAAAGAAGGCAAGAGAAGAGGGAAAGTCTAAGAGGAGAAAGAAACATGTAAGGTATCATCTTCAACTCAACAATCACGATCTCCTTTAAATGATCGTGGAACTTTATTTATAATAGAAGATATGATTAAGTTAAATCTTTAAATTTATCCTAAAATGATATTTTATCCAAGATAATTAAAATAAAAACAAAAAAATAAACGAACATAAAAGATAATGACAATGACACTAAAATTTCAAGGCATGACACATGCTGCATGTTTGTCCTACATCAGTTTCTTTGGTGTTGGTTTTCTACTAAAATGAACTTGATTGTTTATTTTCTAAAATTGAAATCACATGATATGTTTCCATGGCCCCACAAGTCATGAGACATGCTGCATGACACTAAAATATCAAGTCATGACACATGCTACATATTATTTTAGCTAATTCAACTTATAGGTTTGCCTTTATGCAACTTTAGTATGCCATAGAAACTACAGGAGTTTTTATTGTTTTTTTGGGACGCATGGCAATGTATTCAACAGATATGAATCAAATAAAAAATATCATGAACAGTTGTATCCATAATCTTCTCTCCAACGAAAAGATACTTACCGAATTTGTTGGTCCCTTATTTGAGATGCAGCAAAGCGTGAATTATAAACTAGTTATTTAAGATTTATTCGTACTTCAAAATATGACAAATCACATAAGTATAAGGAGAAGATTTTGAAGTATAAAATTTATTTCCCATTGATATCCATGGATAGTGATCACCTCAGAAGAAACTAAGGAGAAAGAAGCTTGTTCTGATCAGTCAACATTAGCAGGACATGGATAAGCCTTCAAAAGTTGTGTTCATAACCAAATAAGTTCAATGGTTACAACAAAAGAAGGGCCATAGTTATTTTCCAAACTCTTTCTTGATACCAGTAAAAATATTGCTCTTAAATGGTCAATTTTTGTTTCCTATGTTATACAACGAAAATGCCAAATTTGGATTCTAAGGAACGTTTGAAAGACAATTTCTTCTAGTCAACTCGATTAAATAAAGACATTCAAAAGGTTGATTGGTTCTTCAACAGAATAGGTTCTCTTTCTGTTATTCTGCTCTTATCCATGTGACCAATATATTGCAAATCCAAACTGTTTACCCATTAACGCTCATATTGACTAGGCAATAATATCAGCAAAGACAGCATTTTCCATGCAATAGTTATGCATGTTAGAATTAAGTGCATAAAATGATTTTTTTTTTCAATTATAAGCCCCAGTATCCAGAAATAAATCCAACAAGGAATTCCTCAAAATACACAAGGAAATCTGTTAGATCGGTCCATTGAACCGGTCTAGCCTGTCCTGCGGGACCGGCCCGTGCGAAACAGTTTCCGCCTCTAATTCCGCCGATCTCACCGCAGGAGCTAAGGGAGCATGTTTGGAAGGTTTTTTGAGGAAGTTTAGGAGGGAAATTGAATGTAGGGACTGTTTAGAGATTTCATTTTGAATTGTATGCATTAAATAGTTTGTTTTCCAGGGTTAAGGCATGTTGAATTTGGGCTGATTTTGGGATCTCTTAGGTTTAGATTTTAGGCTTTAGATTCGTTAAGAGATTGGGAGAGATAGATCCTCCTTTCGAATAGAGGATTACTTGTATCTTATTGTTTTTCTTCCGTCAGTTGATTTCTTGCAATAAAATCTACTGTTTTTCCAGATTTTTATTGGAGTTTGGAAGAGTTTCTCGCTGTTTTCCGAAGATTGAGAGGAAATACTTGAGATCTACAAGTGTTTCCTATCAAAATCATCAACGCTAATTTTACATTAAAATTTGTGTTTAATTGAGATGAAAATAAATCTCAATATAGAGATGAATGGGGATGAGAACTTTCTTATAAGAATTCAGTACTCCTGGAATTTTTTGTCCCAATATCCCATGAAAAATTCATATACTTGAAAGGCTCATCTAACAGAACAAGGATGAAGGTAGCGAATAAAGAAGAAGCTAGTGACTCATACCTGTACAGTAATACGAACTGGGAGCCCCAGTTGATCAATAAAATCGGTGGTGATCTCATCCCATTTAACATTTTTAGCACCTCCTTCTTCACTTGATTCAGAGAAGGGGCCAAGGTTGACTGAGCTGCTGTTCCTTCCTAACCACACATAGAGAACATTTGTCTTTGGCCTCCTCCTGCATGAACTGGAATTAGGTGCTAGCAGCAAGAACACTGAGCTCGAGTCAAGTGCCCCACGATGAATTTCTTCCACCTTGTCCATCCCAGGCCACTGGAAAAGAAGGGGATGACTTACAAAACAGCAATCGCTAGTACCAACGTCCTCATCAACCTCTGCAGTACCCAATCGCACCGAATCAGACTCCATGCTCTTCTGGAATTCTTCCACTTTAGATGCAAGATGAGACAGACACCACTCTCGAACTGCATGACCAGGAGAGAACGGAGCGGATTCACTTCTGCGACCTGCAAGAGACTGCGACATAGAAAGTTCTTTTTCCTTTCCCTTCCTAGGGTGCAAAGGTGGCAACTTGGAAGCAAGGTTCAACGGTAGCAGAGCCTTCTGGGATTCAGCCACAGGGGAGGATGATGGCGAGGAATTGTACCCGTCGGATGAAGAGGTTGAGGCCGGAGAAAAGGAAGTGATGCTCGAAGAAGTTTCAGCCGACAAGGATGACGGAGTGGAGGAGCTCGCCTCACCATCTTCTTCATCATTTGCTTCCCGCCTAGCCGGGGCCCCATTCATCGGCAAGGGAAATGATGGCACGACTTCACCCTTCAGCGCCTGGCGAAAGATTTCAAAATCGAGATCGTAGAGATCAACCCTTCGCTTCCCAACCTCCCCCCCTGCAGAGAGGTCTTTGCCCCAGAAATCAGGAGGCTCGGAACCTTCGTTGACGGTGAGAATAGGCCCCCGAGCGCGCTCATATCGCACAACCTGGCGGGCGGCGGATGCGGCCGCCTCAGCCATGGCCGGATCGCAAGCTCGGCCGAGCCAGACGAAGACGGCAGTTGGGACATGGACAATAAAAGCGCCACGAGAATCAAGACAAACGGGGCCGGAGACCGATTTCGGGACGAGATGAAAGGGATCGAAGGATGAGTGAGGAGCCATGCGGTAGGCGCGGAAACCAGAAGAGGAGGGCGACAAGAGAACCCTAGCCTGACACTGGAGGAGCTGGGAGGCAAACCCTAGGTTGGGATCAGCCGCTGCTCGCGCTGAGCGGACCGCGCGGAGGGCATCGTCGAATGGCTGGGCGTGGCGCCACATAAGGTAGGCGATGACGAGTGCGGCGGATCGGGAAGCACCGCGGCGGCAGTGAACCAGCACTCGGGCCGGTGGGCGGGCCGCGCGGACCTCCTCCAGGTAATCGAAGGCGTCATAGAAGACGGAGGCGATGTCTTCAGCAGGAGAGTCGTGGAGCCACAGCGTCTTGTACACGAGATCGCCGCGGAAGCACTCCGGACAAACACCGCCCACGCAGTTGAGCACGTGCGTTATACCATGTCTCCGCAACGCCTCCCGGTCACGCGCGGCGGCCTCGCTGCCTAAATAGACGTGGTCGGCCACGCGGGAGCACTCAAGGTAATCGTCAGTGGTGGAAGACGATGGGGTGGCTGGCGGGTGTCCGGAGTCATCAGAGGCAGGGCAAGGCCAGCCGGTGATAGCCCCACGGCGGGAGATAGAAAGTGGCGGGAGCGGCCGGGAGGGTTTCGGGGGCTTTCCTTGGGGCACCAAAGACGAACCGCCTGACCAGGAGGCGGAACGCCAGAGCACCTTCCGCGGCGTGGAGGCGTCATCATTGCCGTCCATCTCGATCAGCAGACGGCGGTGGAGGCGCGAGGGTATCTCTCCACATAAGCTGAGTTAGGTTAATAACACAAGCCGCGGGGCTTTCGCCCTTGGATTCCACCCTCGGCTTCCTCGTGCTCAACTGCTTCTGGTCATCCAAAGCTCGTGAGGGAAGGATTTTGGTAGGGGGAACGGAGGGGAGGGAGACGAGGAAGACGACCCGAGTAAACGCCGTCGGACGATAAAACTTCTGTGAAATCGATTACTGGTGTGGGTTTGGTATTCCGCACCCGCTCAGACCCGCTGAGGAAAGCGAGGCTCTGAAATGGGTTTTTTAATGGGTGCAATTTTAAATGTCGCCAATTTCCGTTATCTGTATTGAAATCTACAATAACAGAACGGATGACAGTTGAATGATTATGCGGTCTTCAGAATTTTAGTGGGAAAAAAAAATTATATATTTTTTAAATTAAATTAAATTTATAATAATTAATTTTGACATAATGAGCTTTTTTTTCTAATTGGAGTGCATTAAATATTATTTTTTAATATTTTAGACTAAATTTGCTTAATTTATATTAAAAAATTTATAGATTACAAGGCAATTATAATTGAATCAAATTTATATTATAATACATGATTAAAAAATAATCATAATAAATTTTAAAGCTTTAAGATATAATTTAATAAGAGTGTTGATACACCACAAGAAAATTTAAATAATATGATCAAACATAAATATTAATCAAATTTAGTGACATAATGAACTACCCTAATTTATGATCAAATGAATGTCGTTTCAATGGGACGAGCATAATGATGATGCTAAATGTATTTTGATTGAAGTCCAAATTATTCAAAATCAAACTATTGAAGTATACTTGAAAGATTCTCAAAATTATTTGAGGGACAAAACTGTGAAGGAGTCGGAAACTTCATATTGAGGGGGCGCAAAATAAAAATTTAAAATTTCTTCAACTTTTTTTATCTGGGTATCTTGGGATTTGCATTAGCTATTTTAATTTTTTTTTTAAGAAAATTATATACTAAATATCAGATGAAAAGCACTTACAATTGATACCGTCTGATTTTCATATTCTGAAAAGGATGAATAATAACATCATTATCGATACAATCAAATTTTTTTTCTCAATATAAATGAGTAAAGTATCTTTCATTCAACTAAAGTCATTAATTTTGAAAACTTCTTAAAATAATGCTCCATAAAATTCATGCCAAATTAGATTATAAGAATCTAGTTATTATTTTGAAAAAGAAGCATTTTATCGAACACCATGAGAGCACATTAAGTAAGTTTATTTCTCTTTATTAAACTCAATGATAGTTTTTTAACTTGTAAAAAGAAAAAAAAAATTGAATAGATCAATGAAGTATGTTATTATTCAATGAAAATTCAACAAGAACACACCTTTATGTCGAGTAAGCCTAATAATGAGATAGGTTTTTGAGCTAATTATATATATTTATAAAATCTGATCAATTTAAAAAGTTACAACAATAAAATTAAATCTCGTTTTGCACTCATCATGAATGAAAAAAATATGAGGATTCATGGAAGGGATCCAAATAATGAAATAATTTTAGTAAGACTCCAAATAATGATATAATTCATGATAATGGTAGTGAGATTTGAGTATGGTCAAGTAAGTGTTCCATTACTAAAATAAAATACTTATACTACGCAGTATCATGTTTATTGTATTGGGTATATTGTTGAGAAAAAAGGTAAATTAGTACTTTCTAATAGAATTTGAATAGAGCATGTGTTAAGGTAGTGGAATCTAATGTGAAGATAAGTTGTGCTCGAGGATGGTAATACTATCATGGTTCGCATCAATACTCCCCTGCATTGGAATAACTCAAATCCTTTGAGTGGGCAGAAGTGATAGGTTTGTCTGGCAGTTAGTATTTATGAATGTTGGCGATATTGAAGGTAACGAAAGTGGGCATATTGGCTAGCTAGTAGATCAATGGTGTAGGCATTATCGTTGATCTTGTGAATATTTGGAATGGGCCCAAATTTTCTTGGACTAAGTTTAGAATCATTGTAGGGTGGGAAGCATTCTCTCCATAAGCGAAGCATGACCAATTCGCTATGGTGGGAATCTTGATTGCAATGGTAACTATCAGCATGATGTTTGTACTTGGTGTTGGCTTCTGTTAATTTTAGTTTGATAACCTTCAACATAGCAGATAATCGCTGGGTTGTTTGAGCTGCAAAAGAGCTATGGTACTTGGGAAGAATAGCAATGTCTACAAGGTGATTAGGTATTTCAGTGTAAACAATTCCAAAGTGGCACTTCCAAGTAGATCCGTTAGGCATAGAGTTGTAAGCGAATTTTGCTTGACCGAGCATTTCTTCCCGTTGTTTTGGCTGTTGTTATGCTAAACAACGCAACATGTTTCCAAGTGTTCTATTTACTACTTCAGTCTGGCAGTCATTTTGGGGGTGGTAGGCTGAACTGAGCTTGACTTTAGCATTTAAATGTTTCCACGACTCATGCTATAAGTGGCTAAAAAATTTGATGTCTCGATCAGAGGTGAGACTGCGAGGCAACCCAAGTAAATGGATGATCTCCTTTAAAAAAAAAGATGAGCAATGTTAAGGCATTAAAGATTTTTTGCAAGGAATGAAGTGAACCATTTTGGAGAAGTGGTCGACCACAACCATGATGGAACTAGGCGCCCCTCCCCCCCATTTGGTGCGTGGAAGTCCTCGCACAAAATTGAGACTCAAGTTTTCCCAAATGGAGTCCAAAACGGGTAGTTGAAGATTGAGACCAGTATTTAGCTGAATTCTTTTTTATATTTTGTAAACAAAGAAACATTCTATGAAGTGTGATTCATCGCGACGTAAGTGTGGCCAAAACAAACATGCTTGTAACTTAGCCACTATGCAATCTGTGCCCACATGAGCTGCCATGCCACCACAATGTATTCATTTGGTAAGCTAAGGTCTCCATGATGATTGAGGTATGCAAAGGCAATTACCTTTAAAGAGGAAGTCATGCCTTAATGTGAAATCATGAACATGATGTTTTTGAATGCATTGCGCCCAACTTTCAGCAAAGTTTGGATCCGTTCATTTAGATCTTTTAAGGTTTGTAATCCAATAATCTTCGTTTGAAGTTGAGTGAGCAGGGCTGTCTAGCGGTTTAGTACGTCCATAGCTATGTTGGATTTTCCTACTTTATGTTGGAGGGCAAAGGTAAATTATTAGAGAAAAACTATCGAGCGTTTGTGCATTTTGTTGATGTGTTTTTATTATTGATGTATCAGATTGCTTGATTATCAATGCAGAATATAAAATCCTGGTGCAAAAGGTAGTGCTCCCACTATTTTAAGAACCGAATGAAGGCATATAGTTCTTGCTCATAAGTGGGGCACCTTTGTCAAGCCTCGCTTAATTTTTTGCTGAAGAACTCAATTGGTCTTTGCTCTTGCAATAGGATAGCACCGATTCTAATAGCAGATGCATTTATCTTGACTATGAATGGCTTATCAAAATATAGGAATGCCAAAATTGACGTTGAGCTTATGGCATCAAAACTTCGTTGTTGAGCAGGAGACCACTTAAATGAATGAGATTTCAAATAATATGTGATTGGGGCCATTATTATACTAAATCCTTTAATAAATCGCCTGTATAAATTGGCTAAACCATGAAATCTTTGTACGTCAAATAAGGACTGTGGAGTGGGCCTTCCATGATAGCAAATACCTTACGGGGGTGTTGACCTCATTTTGTATAATTATTTTTGGGAAAAATACAACAATCATTATCGTCATTCTCAAATGATCGAAAATGATTGATATTTTCTTTCTTTGGAGAGATATATCAATTATTATCGTAACTTTGATTATGAAATTAATGATTTCCTATCCAAGTTAGCATAGTCAAATGATTTTGAATTTTGACTACGATAATTTGGATAGTTTTAAAGTTTTGGAATATGAACCAGTTAGTGAACAATATCTTCTCTATATGAGATGATATATTGTTCCTAATGTTGTGTTAGATTTCAAAATTAAAGTTTGAATTTAATATTCCCAAAAATAATTAAATATTTTCAAAATTAATTATATATTTAAATATACTTTTCAATCAAAACAGGGGGTCCATATGAGCTCTTTCATGTGAGACCCAAGAAAATAAATAGTAAAGTTTACAAATTCATATTTTGGAAGATTTAGAAACAATTGGTTGCTACAAGACATTCCAAGATTTGTTTCAAGTGGTCTAAATGTTCATTCATGGAAGTGCTGAAGAATAAAATGTCAGCAAAGTATACAATGAAAAAGTTGCTGAGGTAAGTTTTGAGAATATCATTCATAAGCTTCGTGAAGGTGGATGATGCCTTACATAGGCTGAAGAGCATGACCTTCCATTAATGTAATTCTTCTTGTGTCTTGAAAGTCGTCTTCCATTTGTTGTCGGCGCATAGGCAGATTTGATGGTACACACTTTTCAAATTATGTTTAGAGAAAATAGTGGCTTTGGCTAGCCGATCTACGATGTCACTCAAACTAAGAATTGGAAACTGGTATTTACCATAATCTTATTGATTGCTCGGTTATCAACACATAGCCTCCACTTCCTATATTTCTTTGGAATAATCAGTTCAAGTACTACACATGGGCTTAGACTGTGTTGAATTAGCTACTTCTGCAACATATCATCAATAATTGCTTGTAAGATAGAATGTTTTATAAGACACATATTATAATGAGGTATGTTTGATAAGGTGGCACTGTGGATAAATTCTATCTGATGTTGAATTGATCACAATGGGGGTAGTATTGCTGGAAAGTCTTAAGGCACGATATTAACAAACTTAGCGAGTAAGTCTTGAATTTCCTTGGAGTGAACTAGGGATGGTAGACCAGCACAAGGGCTAGCTGCCCCTAGCATCAACATTTCAGTGGAGTAGAGATTTAATTGTAATAAGGTCTATACCGAGATAATACACACTTCTGGACTAGGGGCAATATTCCTATGCGTATTCCCCAGGGAGCTGGGTATAAGACATATCTTATTATTTTACCACTCGAAGGAGTATATGTTTGCTTTACAGTCGTAGATGGCCCCGCTGTCATATTGCCATGGTCTTCCAACTATGAGATGACATACATCCATCTTAAGAATATCACAAAGAATTTTACTCGTGTGGTTATTCCCAATAGAAAATGTAATAAAGCACATTTCAAAGACAATAACCTCCATCCCCTTCTTGACCTAGCTAACTTATAAGGTTGCGGATTTTTTGTAGTTTTGAGTTGTAGAGTATTAATTGTCAAACGTGAGATGATGTTCTTGGTGGTGCCACTATCTATTAGTATATTATAAACCTTTCTATTGATTGTGCAATGGGTGTGAAAAAGGGCATGGTGCTGAGAACTGAGAGGTTGTCGCGATGCTAATAGGAGTTTCTCAACAACAACAACTATAGGTTCACCCTCATACTCGCAACTCTTCAACTTCTTGCTATGCTTCTGCATCAAAAGTTGTTTGGTGGTTTTCTTGCTCTCTGTCTATAAACTGAATTTGTTGGCGCCTTGGACATTCATTAAACTTAAGTCTGGGTTGAAAACACCGAAGCACTTTAAGATTGTGGGTTTAATGTAGGGATTTTCTTAGGAGTTAGCTTTTAATTTGGGCTGCACTTTTGAATTGGGAGGTGGATTGGAAGGTTTTTGGGTAGTGTTTTGGAGCTTGGGCGCTACAGGAGTATTCTTTGAGGGATATGTGACATGGTCATAATATTGTTGCCTTTTGGGGTATCACCGATTGGGACATTGGAGTTGGAATTTAGCTTTGAGTGGAAAGGTTACTGCCTGGGACAACAACTTGACCAAGTTGAGCTCTAACTTATCTTGTATGGTTTCTCAAAGTCCTCCAATTTTACGAGCAACTAATTGATTCTCAGTGTCATTGAAATTATTTCTTGCACTAAGGAGATAAAACTCATGTGTACTCGTTTATGATTCTAGTCTCTTATGTACAATATTAATACTTAATGTAGAGCATCTGTCCAACATCTGTTGGTGAAAAGTAACCCCTAAGCAGCTGTTTTATTCTATAACAGCTGCGGACATGACCCTTTACCTTCCCATCTCCGAGTCTACAATAACTGAAGCCACCAAGCGCTAGCTCCACCTTTCAAGCGGAAAGCAACATAGTTCACCTGTTTGTCAGGGGAGATCTTCATAAACTCAAAGAAGGTATCAACCTCCCTTTCCCAGTCGAGGTAGTATTCGATGTGGATGCAACCATTAAAATAAGGGATATCCATATTCACACAAAATTCGCTTTGCCCTATGGGAATATCCACAGTTCTCTTAGGTCGGCTGCAATAATGGAATTGTTCATCATCTATAAACTTGGAAGTTTCCCTATGACCACGGATTGCAACATATTCATCAAAATTAGAGACATCCGAGAGGATAGTGGGTATTCGTCTTCTCATCTGCTCAGGCGGTGATGGAGCTCGCTGAGCCATAGTTGCTGGCACCCGAGGGGCGGTTTGTCTGGAGCATGTGTGTCACAGGAATGTGGTGTTGCATTTTCATCTTCATTTCAGCAGAGAAAAAAAAAACTCTGTCGTAAGCTCATCCAATCATTGAGTGATGTTAACTTATGCAACCCACAAAGCGTCTAAACTCTGATGATCATCAAGAGTTGGGTGTCTACTTCCTTCCGCCATTTCTCCTTACCTGTTATGATACCATTCTGATGAAGCACAAAAGTAGAGGAAAGTTTAAGGAAGTAAGAGGCACAATAACAAGGTAATATTTTTTGTATATGATCTTCCAGTACTAAAATAAAATACTTATATTATACAATATTATGTTTATCGTATTGTGTATACTGTTGAGAAAAAAAAAAGGTAAATTAGTACTTTCTAACATAATTAGAATAAAACATGTGCTAAGGTAATGGAGCCTAATGTGAAGATAATTTGTGTTGGACCATGGTAATTGTATCATAATCTGCATCAACTGCATTAGGTAGATTCTTATTTCATGTTGATGAAGGCTCGAGCGGAGCGGTAGAGCAGTCGATCAAGTGAGTCCTCATAGAGAAGCAACAGAACAGATGAACTGTGAATCCGAATAGGAGAGTCACAAATGTAAAGTTGAGACATCGAATGTGTTTGTAGTCAAAATGAGTATCTTGATGTGAGGAATTCAATGAACCTAAGATAACTCAATTTTAATATTATTAAGATACTTAAATACTAAAAGAAGTTTATGAATTAACAACATATGTCAACTATCCATCAAAGTGTTAGGAGATTTTTACTAAATTATTAAGATGTCACTCTAAGAAATTTTATATATATATATCACACGACTACTATCATCCAACCATCATTACCCAATCATAGTTAGGGGTGCAAATGTGTCAAACTGGATGAAGTTTGAACTTGATGAAACTCAACTTATTAGCTTGAAAAATAGCTTGAATAAAGTAGATATTTAGAATATCATAATTAAATAAATTATATTGTTTTAACTGGATCAAACCCCATAATTTATGGAAAGGGACAATAAATCAATAAGTTTATGATAAGTCTTGGTGTTGATGTTGGGAGTCAGAATTGGTATCAATGACATACATCATTGTCACAGGTGATAGGGTATGTGTTGAATCATGTTTTATCTGGTGGATGATGTCGTGCCATACTTTGTGCCACCTGCGGACCAATAGCTTGATGGTAAAGGTGATGAAATCATAATACAAGAGAAAAAGAGGAAGATGATGAGAGAAGATGTGAATCAAGACAAAAGTTTATCATATAAGCCAAAATGTATAAGAATAATGGATGTGAGGGCTCTGTGCTATAGATCTTAAGCTATGAAAAAAGGGAAACATTATAACATGTCTTTCTCCTTAAATGCGGGAGTTATAAAAAAAAAAGAGATATATCTAAGAGAGATGTAGATATCTTATGCTCTCTACTTTTTTCTCTTTATCTTTTCTCCACCTTTTTCTCTTTTTATTTCCTTCTCTCTCTCTCTCTCTCTCTCTCTCTCTTTTTTAATGTCTATGCCCCTTCTCCCTTTTATAGGGCTTAAGGAGTTACCATGGATATGTATGAAATATAATAGTTCTCTCATCCATCTTTGATGTAGCTCAATCGTCCATGTCAAGTGAAATGGAAAATACAGTGAAAGGGAGCGTGAGTCAGATGGATTGTGGATTGAGTTAGAGTTAGTAGGTAGTCAGTCTAAGGTTGCCCCATTGAGGTAAAAGGGGAGAGTCGGTCTAAGGTTGCCCTATTGAGGTAAAAGGGGAGAGTAGTATCTGGATGTAGTTGGGAGTTTAGGCCAACGTATAACAAGAAACCAATATGAGGTTGCCTATTAAGGTGAGAGGGTGAGTAGTGTCTTATGCAGTCGATCTTATTGCGAGGGAAGTCTAGTGGGTTAGATAGATGTTGTTAGCTTAGTCATTGTCGTGTTTCACATGGGGAACTTGACTCTGGCCGTGATGGATAAATATTTGTCTAAATGAGAAAGAAACTTCTGAGTTCATCCTCGCTTGGGGGTGGGGGAAATAGAAGATTGACTCGTTTAATAAACTAATCAGGTGGCCGGTTTAAAATTCTAAGCCATTTATTAACCCGTGAATTCTATTTTGACTCAAAAGTGACTTATTTAAATTTTTTTCTTAAATTCTTTTGCTTATTGATATTTTTTTATTTTCATATTATTTTATCTAAATTCTATAATTAAAAGTTATAATAAAATAAATAAAAATGGGTTATCTACTTAGGTTTGGGCGGATCGGTTGACTAGCGGGTCGGTTTCAAGTCCATCACTTTGACATATTTATTAAATGAGTCAAATTCAAATTGATCAAATTTGGATCAAGTTGGACCCAAATTAAACCCGTTAACCCATTTTAACAATCTTAAATAGTATAAGAAGATTTAGGCTTCGTTTGGGACGGCTTTCTTTCTGCTTTTTAAAGCAGCTTTCTAGTACAAAATATTTTTATTTTGTACTAAAAAGCTGCTTTAAGAAGCAGAAAGAAATCCGTCCCAAACGAAGCCTTACATACATACCACTTTATATAAAGCTATTTTATATTTAATACCTAAAATTTTAATATTTTATACCAATAACCCATAGATCAAATATGAGTGTAAGAAATAAAATATTAAAATTTATAAAATGATATAACTGGTATGAATGAAATATATGAGTGAGATATTTGATATTAAAATTATTTAGGGGCGATGGATATAAAATATTAAATATTTAGGGGTATATATGTAAATCTAACCTAATATAAATATGGATAGCTTGGCTTTAAGAGTTTAGATAACAGGCGTAGATTTACTTCAGCTCGGCGAATCGAAGCAGCGGAAAGGCGCGGTCGTATCTCTCGGAGCCTGTCCCCTCACTTTTAGGGTTTCAGTTCTTCTCTTGCCGCCGCTAATATGAGGTAATGTTGGTCCGACATGGAGATCGCTCCGGAAGAAAGTCTATCTTTGTTATTCATGTTTGATGACCGCTAACGATATCTGTGTATGGTGTGCTTAGGGTTTTATTAGGGTTTTGTCTTTTGCTACTTTTGTTGTTTTTGGTTGATTGTATGAGGTTTTAACAGCTAACACGATGGGTACAGCGGATTTTAATGCTGAAGTTGTCAGTTTCATGTCGTGTTACCTATTTTGCGGTGTTTTTCATGGAGCGTCGTTCGGCGTAGGCTAGGGAAAAGTAGAAAGTAAGCGCTTATGGAGTTTGAGTTGACGAAGAGATGAAGACGATGCTTTCCACTGTAAAAAGTGGTTAATTACAGCTTTAGTTTCCTTACTAGGCATCCCCAGCGTCATTGGTTCGTCGTCCATGTTTCCTTCTTAGGTTTTAGAGAGTTATTGCTAGTTCTTTTTTTGGTTTGCAATTGTAGTCACTTGCTATAGGTATGAAAGAGAAATATAAGATTGACTTTCCTTGTAACTGAATATGAAATAAATCAAAATTTGGTATTTTGGCATTTGTATGTTCCCCGGAGGGTATCCATTGGATTTTTTTATAGATTTCTAGTAATCTCTGAATGAGACACGCAAGACTTGGTATTGATCATTGTTTTTCTTTGCCATACAACAAGTTTTTATCTTCTCAAATAAATAAATACTTGTGGGTGTGTCCTCAAATTAATGTTTTCCTATTATCTTTTAAAGCATCTTCAAAATTTCGAGTAAGACTGCAAGCCTTGTCTCCGCTATCTGTAAATACCCAAACTTTAACTCATGTAACCTTAATAAAATTGCTTGTTTTTCAAACTTTCGTTTATGAAAAGAAGGTTTTTCATTAAATTCTTTGTGTTTTTTTTCACTCTGCAGATTTCTTCTCATGTAGATCTCTTCATCTCCATTTTTCTTATATGTTTTGTCATTGTTTGATGTTTTAAGCAAATCAATTCCTTTGGGGTTTGTTCTAACCATAAAACTGTATATATACCTTTCACTTTTTCTCTAAAAACTTGGTGCTTATGGTTCTAGATTTAACTTTTTAAGATCAAAAGCAAGATTTCTATCTAAATCATAAAAATAGCTAACATACTTGCTTGTAAAATCTTAACCAAGCATTACTAATATGTTTTCGCATTCTTTCACATGCTTATTCTTTTTCTCATGTCCTCTTAATGCAAGCAGCGATACTTAGATTTCTTAAGCCATGGAATGGAACCATCATGGGGGCAATTCATGCATTTTTAAGCATGTTGTGGATGTAACTTTACTAGGGTTTCTGAAGAGCTAAATTTGATACGGCTACTCAATATCTTATTCTGGTCCTTTCAATTTAGCTTTGTACATGGATGCTTCTAAAAATGCTATGAAGTTTTTTTTTTCTTACATTTTATTATAATCATCTTTCAGTTTCTCATGCCTATGAATCCCAGTAGTGATATTTAATTCTGCAAAGTAATATGGAATGGAGGAATTATGGGGGCACCATATGATGCTTGTTTATATTGTTGATGTGACCTAGTCAGGATGCATAAAGTGCTACATTTAATACTTTTAATAACTATCTTGACAAGATATGGATACCTATTATATGCAATGATTTAATACTGACATGTAGGTATTGATGGTCCTTTCCAAATTTTTTCGGAATGCCAATGATCTAGAATTTAGTATATAGAGTAATTTTTTTTAATCATAAATGAAGAGATTCTAAAACATTTATTGAAATTATAATCAAAATTGCAGTGGAATATTGGAATGGAAAAGTTGAGTTTCAAAAACTTTAATTAAAAAAGTGAGTGCATGTCTGCATGATCTACATTTAGGTTAATTTTACTTGCTCTTGATTAGAATTAGAATGAACGTTTGATCTTCCTTGGATAAACCTTACCTGAACTTTAATTAACTTGACCCAAGAATCAACTTGTGTGAGCCGGCCAATCGTCATTGGTTCATTGTCCATGTTTCCTTCTGTATAACCATCTGAGAATATTAAGCCTGTGTTTGAGGTTAAGAAGTTTGAGGAGATTTTTGAGAAAGACTGCAGAACCTTGGGATTGAATATAATGCAGTGGCATGAGTTATTTGTTCAAGAAATGCAACATGCTTTTGTCTCAATAACCTTTCTTCCTTGTAATCTTTAATACGTGTCATTGAAACACGTTACCGCTACAACTTGAGTGATTACATGGAATAACATTACTGGCTAATTATATTTATTCAACTATCAGTTTTTTTGGGGGTAGGGAGAGCGCTCAAATCTAGCACACTGTAAACTTCAAATTTATTTCAAATCAGTGTGCAATGAATTCGAGCGCATAACTACCGGTTTTAACACTTTAGTTTTTAGAGAGTTATTGCTAATTCTTTTTTTAGTTTGCAACTGTAGTCACTTGCTACAAGTACGAAAGATAAATATAAGATTGACTTTCTTTGGTAACTTACAACAACAATAACAACATCAAGCTTTTATCCCACTATGTTGGGTCAGCTACATGAATCCTTTTTCTCCATTGTGTCTGGTTAAGAGTCAAATTCTCTTTTAGATCTAACAAAGAAAGGTCATTTCTAATATTTTCTAACCAAGTCTTTTTAGATTTTCCTCTACCTTTCTTAACATTTGTTAAATCTAATAGATATACTCTCCTAACCGGTCATCGGATGACCACCGTTTTATGTGATGGGATAAATAGAAATTTGGTATTTTGGCATTTTATATGCTTCCCTGAGGAGATATCCGTTAGATTTATTGTATATTTCTAGGAATCTCTAAATGAAACATGCAATAATGGGTACAGATCGTTGTTTTTCTTTGCCAATTTCATGTTTTTATCTTCTCAAAGAATTACTTGTGGGGGTTTCTTCAAATTAATGTTTTCAGATCATCATCTTAAGTATTTTAAAAGTATTTAGTAAGACTGCAAACTTTCTCTCACTGTTTGGAAATAGCTGAACTTCAACCTATGTAACCTTAATAAAATTGCACCATTTTTAAACTTTCTTTGATGAAAAGAATGCTTTTCCTTAAATTCTGTGTATTTTTTCACTTTGCAGATTTCTTCTTGTGTAGGTCTCTTCATTTCCATTTTTCTTGCATCTCGTCTTGGTTTGATGTTTTAATCAAATCATTTCGTTTGGGCTTTATTCTAACCAGAAAACTAGTGTTTATGCATCTAGATTTATAACTTGTTTAGATCAAAAGCAAAATTTCCAGCTAAATCATAGAAATAGCTAATATATTCTCATGTAAAATCTTAAATCAAGCATTATTAATGTATTTTCTCGTTCTTTTCACATGCTTATTCTTTTTCTTTTTCTCATGTCCTATTAATCCATTTAGCGATATTTAGATTTGTTAAGCCATGGAATGGAATCTTCAAGGGGTACTGGGGTAGTTTATGCTTTTTAAGCATGTTGTGGATATAACTTTACTAGGATTCTTGAAGAGCTAAATTTGATCCTTCTACTAAATATCTTATTCAGGTCCTTTCATTTTGTCTTAGTACATGGATACTTCTAAAGATGCTATGAAGTTTTTTTTTAATCCCATTCACATTATATTCATCTTTCGGTTATGCCTATGAATCCAAGTAGTAATATTTAATTCTGCAATGTAATATGGAATTGAGGAATTATGGGGGCACCATATGCATGTTTATGTTGTTGAGCTGACCTAGCTAGGATGCATAAAGTGCTATATTTAATACTTTTTATAAGTATCTTGACAAGTATATGGATAATTCTCATATGCAATGATTTAAAATTGACATGTAGGTATTGACGTTCCTTCCCTCTTTTTGAATGTCAATGATCTAGAATTTAAGATATAGAATAACTTTTTTTAACCATAGATGAAGAGATTGTAAAAAAATTATTGAAATTCTAGTCAAAATTGCAGTGGAATATTAGAAATGGTAAACTTGAGTTAGCAACTTATATTAAGAAAGAGAGTGCATGGTCTATATTTAGGTTAATTTAATTGCACTTGATTAGAATTAGAATTAAAACTTGCTATTGGAATGGATATTCCTTGGATAAACCTTACTTGCTCTTAATCAACTTGACCCAAGAATCAAACTTGCGGTTGCCAGCCCATGAAGCAAGCCAGCTGGTCTCATGATACCCAAGGGTATGAACTCTGTTTGGGTTCATTGATTGTTTTTTTTTTTTCATTTGAATTCTATGCTCTTATCTTGTTCCTAGATTTTAGACTAATGAATAGATCTTTCCTTGTATTTAGGAGTTGCTTATCTAAAATCTAGAAAAGTTGGTTTAAGATTTTGAATTTTGGAGATATGTTGATATTCTTTTAATTAATATTTTGAATCCCTTTTTGTTTTGTAATTGGCGTAATTTTTGTTGCAATAGAAATCAAATTCCTGTTTTGAAATGTCGTATCTAAGTTTTCTCTTTCCTCGACTTCTTTCTTCCTCTCCTCACTCTGTCTTTCTCCCCTAATTGACAGCTCCTATCCCAGGGATAGCAGTTGTTGGCCCTTTCTCCTTTCTCTCTACCTCAAATTTCTCCATAAACCAAGAGCTTACAGATTTGCCTAGAAGGTATTGATTGATAAAAATATATATATTATTACCAGTAATTTTACTGTTTGTACAACAAAATTCTTCCATCAAAGAGGAAATTGCAGCTGAGAGAAAAAGTGGAGGAGAAAAAAAATATCCATGCACTTGTCTATAATTCCCTCCAACTCTTATAACTTGTATCTAGGACTCTTAGTTGCTTGATTCCTTAGGATTTGGATCACAGATAGAATGAGTCACTCAATTGATAGATTGTGTTTGAGAAACATATAGAGGTAGTATGCGTCGATTTGTAATATCATTTTGAATTTGATTGTATTTGTTTTACATGAGCTTCTATTTAATAATAGGAGAGAATAACAACCTTTAACTATTAATTCTATTTTCAAGTAGTTGGGGACCTAATTTAAAAATAAATAGAATTAATGTGGAAGGATTTGGTGACCTAACTTAAAAAGAAATATTGTAAATGGCATTGGTTAAAATTTACTTCAATGTTTGATTAATATTATATTTTATTCAGTTTTACATAAATAAAATGCACAAAAATGCCTATTGTATGTGCTTTTCTAAAACCTAATATTAGGTGTTCCATTATTGTAGTCGCCATCCTGAGGTCAAGTGGGCCCAAAGGTCCGACAAGATCTACCTTACTATTCTCTTAGCCGATGCAAAAAATGTTCAGATTAATCTTGAGCCAGATGGTGTTTTCACCTTTTCTGGTACAACTGGTTCTGACAATGTCCTGTATGAGGTGAAACTGGAGCTCTATGATAAAGTAAATGTAGAGGTAAGGTTTATATCGTGCAAAAAATATAATTATCATATTTCAAGTTCATCACCTCTTTACACTTATATTACTCTTTTTTCTAGGCAAGCAAACTAAACACTGGCGTTAGAAGCATCCTCTGTGTTATCGAAAAAGCAGAGAAGGGGTGGTGGAAGAAGCTACTGCGCGGTGATGGAAAGCTACCTCACTACATTAAAGTTGACTGGGATAAATGGGCGGAAGAAGATGAAGATGATGGTTTGTTCTAAAACTTCTATTTATTCTTTTACATGATATAATAAAGAATAATAATGTATGATTTGAATGACTGGAAACATGACATGAAAAATACAGCTGTAGGGGAAGAACGTTGATGTCTTTTGGAGCATTTTAAAAGCGCGACAGAGTTTATTTTCAAATAAACACAATTATGTTTCCATATTTATTGCTTTATGAATCAAATATTTTTCTGTGATGATAAACTATGTAACATTAGAAGTCCTCCATGTAGACTTAAACTTTTTTCCCCTTTTGAATTCAAATTTTTTTTTTCTTGCATGAAAAACAGGTAAATGCATTCGACACAGTCTTGATCCTTTTTTAATTTTTTTTTTTTTGGTGTGTGTGTGTATTTGGTCTTCTTAGATGGTTTGGTCATATATGTGAAAAGGTTGGAGTAGCTCCAGTGGAAGATAAGATTAGAGAGAGTCGCCTTAGATGGTTTGGTCACATTAAACGGAGGCCTTCCGATGACCCGGTTAGGAAAGTTGAGGTATTATATTTGACTTTTGTTTAAAATGATAGAGGTAGACCTAAAAAAACTTGGTTAGAAAATATTATAAATGATCTTTCTTTATTATATTTAAATGATAATTTGACTTTTAACCGGACACAATGGCGAAAAATGATTCATGTAGCCGACCCCATGTAGTGGGACAAAGGCTTGATGTTGTTGTTGTTGTAGTAGTTGGTCTTCTTGCTTCTGCGATTGTTTCTTTGTCTAATTTGGTTGATTATATTAGTTTCTTTTTCTGGGAACATAACCTTACTTTTTTTTTTTATTTTGTGTCAGGTCCTACTGCCACTGCTGATGACTTTGGAGGGATGGACTTTTCGGTAAACTTACATGTTTTTTTTTCTTTTAATTTTGATCTTTTAGTTTTTGAGGTTTGCCATAGTTAATGTGTGCATGCCTTTTTTTCTTACAGAAATTTGATAATATGGGTGGAATGGATGGTGATGACGATCTTGATGTTAGTGATGATGAAGGTAATTACTGACACCCATCTTTGAACTTGATGTATTTTGTTTTTTTGTGTTTGCGTACATTTTTTATTGTTTTCATTGGAAATATGTTGCCTTATGAGCATTTGTGAAGTGATGGCCAATTAGTTGTGTGAGTCAAAGGCAACCGTAAACTTTTCAATCTCATCTTTTTTGAGTAGTAAGATTTATATCTAGGGATTTTTTCCCTTTTTTTGTTCTAATTTTGTGTTCCCTTAACCATTTTTTGGCATTTGCAAATAAGAATAAAAATGTTGTCCTAGGATTAGATGTAGGCATTTAAAGAACACTAACAAATTTTTTTTTAGGGTAAGATTCAAGAATATTATATTGGAAAGAGTAGATAGTGATATTAAGAATGTTATAAAGTATGTGCTTGGCATATCAAAAAGAAAAACTCCTAATCGTTAAAATAGTTGGTGAATCAAAATGTTAAAAAAAAAAAAAACTTTATTATAAAAACTGGTCTAGATGTAAAATCTTGAAAAAATTGGGAAATATATAAATGAACTCTGGAAGAAGTTAGAAATCAATATTCAATGAAAAAAATATAGCTTTTAATGATTTATGTAATATATTAGATATTGCGGAGGGCAAAAAATTTACGTATAAGTTAGCCAAGGAAATAGATAGGAGAATTAGCAAATTAGTTCAAGTGAAATGCATGAAAATGAAGATTAAACATAAATTAATATCATTAAATATTTAACCGTAATGTTAAGGTTAAGAAATACTCTAATTCTTTAGATTTATGTAATAACCATTTTCCTCAAAATTTTCCTGTATTCTTCACTCTTCCATCTCTTTCTCCTGTTATGTCTGTACGTGAGGAATTTGATTGAAAGAAAATGAAAAGTGTTTTAAAGCTTACAATCAATGGATTTGAATTCATAATGAACCCAAAATTATCGAGGTTTCATTTAATTTTCTTCTCTTTCAATCCAAATATTATCTTAGTTTCTTTCACATTCTCTCCTCAATCCTATTATTCTCCTTCTCACTTGATCCAACACCCTCTAAAATAGCTAACGTTACCCTTTAATGAGCTGTTGTGGGAGAAAGTTAAGTCATCCCTACCATTTGCAATGGAGGTGGAGCAAATGGCTGAATAATTGATACTGAAGTGGGAGGGATAGAGGAGAATGATAGGAAGTACTTGTAGATTTGAAGTATTTCCTATCAATCTTCAGAAAACAACGAGCTTCTACACAAAAATCCGAAAAAAATGAAAACATTAGATAATTTGTATTATTTGATGAAAGGGAAACGGAAAATATCAAGATACAATTGATCCTCTATTCGAGAGGAGGATCGATCTCTCCCAAATTTCTAGACGCCTTTAGAGCCCAAAAGAAAACCTAAATCTAAGAGATCTCAAATTTCAGCCAAATTCAATATGCCCTAATCCTCGAAAAGCAAAGTACTTAATACATACAAATCAAAAGAAAATCCTTTAACAGTCCCTACATTCAAATTTCCCTCCCAAATCCCTCAAAAATCCTTCCTATTCTGCTCTATGGGATCTGGCGGTTCTATCATTAGCACAGAGAGGCGGAAAACGCCTCTGTTTCTGCGGACCGGTCTAACAGAGAATTACCTCTCCTGGTTGGATCCTCTTGATTTAAGCTAGATTGTTATGGATCTCCATTCATTTGCAACGCACAGATTAACTTCTTCTTCCAAAGAAATGATCAAATTCTCAATTTCTCTGATATGATTCTTAAAAAACACATGAACTCCTAACTTATTGCCCTCATTATTTGCAGAGGCCGAAACTGCAAAGACTGAAGATGCCATTGAAGGTCTAGATGTGGAGAAAAAGGATGAAGAAGTTTCAGAGATCAAAGAAGAAACAGAAAAAGCTCCAAGCACCTGAAAAATCCTCAAGAACACTCTGTTGTGCCCTCCATTGATCTCTCATTACTGTGGTCCAGATATTATTAATACAGACAAATTTTAAGCTTTTGCCTTATTATTTCCTTTAAGATGGACATTTGTAGTTTCCCCCTCCCCAAAAAAAAAATTATGGATTTTGTGTGTGAACTATCTAACAGCTGGTAAACATAGTTGAGAGAGTTCTATTTATGAGGATGTTTGGTATTTTTCATTTCTGATTTGCTCTTTCATATGCTGTTCTGCAATGTAAATGCTTATATAATTTCCATTTTGGCTAATATTTTGCTTTGATAAGTTCAAATTCTTTTGTGATGGTAAAATGGGATTGTTTGATCCATCAATGTTGGTCATGCTTAATCAAATGTAGGGGATCCTTTATTGATTACTTTGGCTCAAAGTTGATCCTCATCAACATGATCAATCCAAGGAGATTGTGATATGTTCCATGGACATGATATCAAATTTGTTGATGTTCACTTATTTTGCACCATATGCAAAACCCTAATTGGTCGCCTTTGATTATCGGTCTATGATGAGTTCGACATCAATCTTCAATCATGATCACATTGATGTGTTGTCTTTACAATGAAAGACGCATTTTTAATGTTGAGGATGGAAGTAAATCATGTCAAAAAACATCATAAAAAAATTCATTATGAAAATGAGAAGTAATTATAGATCTTTCTTCTCTTGCTTGTATTTACTTCTCTGCTCGCGTACATCGTTCTCATTTCAAACACCAGAACATATGTCATTATGATGTTGTGCTTAAACATGCAGTGTTGTGATGTCAAATATAGATAAATATGGCGCTCTGCTTTCTGTTGTTTCTCCTAGTAAATTTTGCAACATTAGGATGCTTGAAAATACAGCGTCAGGGTGTTTTATGCTCATAAAAAAAAATCCTGTGCAGATCACTTGAACCCAAGCAAGGGAAGGATGAGCCCCCACCACCACAAGCATGAGAAATTGAATTGAGATTTGAGATTATATTATATCCTAATTGATCAACATAATTAAATTCTAAACAGAACTAACACAATGCACCAAAATAATTTGTGAAGATTGTGATACTATATTGGTCAAAACAACTATTATGATTTCATGACTTAAAATATTACATTTTCTTTAGCATTATCAAAAAATATATTGAGAATAAAAAGATAATATTATCATATCATGATTTAAAATGCTTCATTATCATTAATATCATAAAAAATAAGTGGCACACACAAATTTAAGGACTTCAATGATGATTTGATCATTCATTAAATACATCAAAAAATTTTTAATAAATAACTCTGATTACATAAGGAAAAAAAATCACAAATTAAAATAAAGAGAGAAATGGGCCACAATTGAATAAAATTTTTTGACACGTCAAATGCTAATAAATTAGCCCATAAAAAGTTCTACAAATTTTCCTAGACATTCAATTGTTGTTGTTGTTGAGTCTTAGGCTTCGTTTGGGACAATTTTTTTGCTGCTGCTTAAATAAACTTTCTAATAAAAAAAAAATTATACTAAAAAGCTGCTTTGAGAAGCAATAAAAAAGTAATCCCAAGGGTTTAGGGTTTAGAGTTTAGGATTCAGGGTTCCTTTGGAACAGTTTTCTCACTGCTTCTTAAAGAAGCTTTTTAGTACAAAATTATAATTTTTATACTAAAAAACATCTTTAAGAAGCAGTGAGAAAATCGTCCAAAACAAAACCTTATTTATCCTCCATTGCAATGATTCAACTTTGCATGAACTCTAATTGAACATTTAAATTTAATAATCATCTCTAACTTCTAAAATCATGGAACTAATAGTGATCTAAGCCAAAACATATAACATATTAAGAACTTTGTCTTCATAACTCTATTTGAAATCAATTTCCTAAGTACATCTACTATGACCTCAATTTTAGTTTATTGCATTCTCTTCACAGATCAAAATAACCTGTTTTGACACGTTTACTAACTCATGAAACGAAATTGATTCAAAAAGTTTTCCCAATGAGATTCTCCTATGATCTACCATACACACCTGTATAAAAGAACATAAATATAAAAGCAGTAAAATAAACGTTGCATATAGCAGCAAGAAGAAGCAGGATAAATAACCTGTTATTGTGTTACATGCTACAGGTAATTGAATCCTCTCCGCCCAACAGTTTCCTGTCACCTTTACAATATAGATGTCAGTGATTGAAATAAAATCATATAACAATCCCAGGAGAGTATTCATACCCTAAAAAATAAACCAGAAAACATATAATATAACACAATTATGAACAATAATGCTTCTCCCATTGAATCCTAACGTTTCTAAAGGAGAAATAAGGGAAGAACACTTTTTTAGATTTCCTTTTGTAAGCTGGAAAAGGCTGTTGGCTTTTCACAGCTTACAATGTTTGAAGATGAAGGCTTCGTCTGGGATTGCTTTCTTCCTACTACTTAAAGTCGTCCCTTTAAGAAGCAGTAAGAAAGTCGTCCCAAACGAAGCCGAAGAGATGGAAGCAAGGATAGAGAATTCAACTAGCTTCCAGGAAGCAATAACTGCATTCAAATGATTTTAGAAGCAGAATCACCACACCAAACCTTTTGTTCTCTTTTCAGTGTAGGCAGAGCTTAACCTGGAGTTTTCTGGTGTATCGACCTTATTTGGATTGCCAATCCTACTGTCTAAACTGGTTCTTGCGGCCTCTGGACGACTCAAAAGTTCTGGCATTTCAGACAAATATCGGCTCCCAATAGGTTTATTTTGCTCTGCATCATCTGGTTCAGTGGCCTTTGAGCTTCCTGCTGCCTTTCTTTTAGCAACATAAGAGACGAACTTTTTTAGGTGTTTAATGTATTCAGGGTAGAGCTCAAGGTTGCAATGGCCACCACCTTTCAGCCATAGGGGATCATATTTATGTTTGCTAAGCTCCCAGAGTCGCTTACCATGGGAGCAGTCCACAACATCATCTGATGTGCCCTGAATACAGAGTTTCTGATGTCAACAATTTTACCGGGAGAAAAAGAAAGTGATAGCAAATACTTGAGTTCGCAAGTAAGCCTAAGAGAAATACTTGAGTTCGCAAGCAAACCTATCACTAATTGGTAAAAAGAGCGAGAAATAATGCAAGATATCCAATGAAAACAATCCAAAAACAGTAGATTGTACTGTAGGAATTAAACCAAAAGCAAGAACAAACAAAGATACAATTTGAGAGGAGGATCGTTCTCTCTCAATCTCTAGACGATGAATTTAGAGCCCAAGACGCCAAGAAACTTCAAAGAAAATTCAAATCATGCAAAACCCAAACCCTTCCCCAAAAGAACCTAATTAAAGACAAAGGACAATTACAAATTTTTTAATCAGCCCCCCCCCCCTAATTCAAAAATTCCCTCCAAAGCAAATTTAATTAACAAGTGGGCCCCTAGGAGACTCCACTCCTCCCTCTCTCTTCCCTAGTTCCGCCCAATTTGGGCCGCCGGCTATACACCAAAACCGGTCCACTAGAGACCGGTTCAACCGGTTCAGGAGGAGTCGGCCTAACAGAAAGCAAGCATAAAAGTAGCTAGGACTCCATTATCATGATTGTATATATACTCTATTCTTACTTGTATCGAGTAAATCTTTCATTCATCACCAAAAAACATGTAATCTCAATAGAAGAAAACATTCTTTAATAAGAAAATAATTAATATAAAAAATCCGTTTTCAGTTCTAATGCCTTGCTCACAGATTTTATAGATATATTCTTCCATGTTGGAGCAAAGGACAATTGTTTAAATGGAGGAAACTGGGCTGTCGTTAGAAGTGCTTCTTTCTCAGAAGTATTTTTTATATTTTCAAAGGGGTCAGACTCTCCAAAGAGGGGCCCAACCCCACCGGGATAGATTTGAAGAACTTGATGGTTTGGAGGATTCCAACACTTAAAAAATGTCCTGAAGTCTACATCCTCTCTCCAAAATGATCAACAATATCAAATAGCTCACAGCATCTACTGACTGTTATGAGCATTATTCTTCCTAACGAGATTCACTGTATGTGACACTTAAGCCTGATTATCAAGTGGAGTACTTCTGCAACGAATTTACCACACATGATGGATGTGGCATCAAGACAGATTAACTGGAGGGTCTAACTATTGACGTCTCTTATAAGCTTTGTCACAAACATCATCCACCCACTTTTGACAACCATCTCCTCAAACCACTACTTCTATTGCGCACCCCTGCAGCAAAAACCTCATTAAAGAAGGATCATCATAAAAGTTTTCCCCTTGATTGTCCACTAGTTTTAATGTAAGCAACAAATGCATTAATATTCAAATCTGGGGATCATAATATTGCACGGGAAAAAAAAGAAAGTGAATTGAAACTTCTCTCGCTCTGAAGAGCATATAATACTACACATAATCTATAATCATTTTTAAATATACAAACTCTCTTATAACAGCAATAAAAAACATCAAACCTTCATCCCCCTACGTGGGGTTGGCTACATAAATTATTTTTCTCTTTTGTGTCTTATTAAGAGTCAAATTCTCATTTAAATATAATAATAAAATATCATTTCAAATACTTTCTAACCAAGTTTTTTTGGTCTACCTATATCTTTCTTAATATAGGACATATCTAATAGATCTACTCTCCTAATCGGGAAGGTCGACGTTTTACATGACCAATAAATCTAAGATGAATCTCTCTAATCTTATCTGCCACTGGAGCTACTCCGACCTTTTCATGTAAATATTTATTTCACATTCCATCTCTAAGTGTAAAACCACTCATCCATTTGACTATCCTCATCTCTGCAACACTCAACATAACTTTTTTGCTTCTCTTTCAATGCCCAACATTCTGCGCCATAAAGCCAAATGTGCAAACTCTCTTCTAAAAAATAAATTTATCTGCATGTGCTTGATGAGCATACTAGATGCTTGAATTTAATATTCAAGAATGGCACGAGGACAAAAAATAAGTTGAATGCAAAATTCACCTAGCTTGAGAGTCATGAAATTATCTTTTGAAAATGTGCAATCACCTTGAAATTTCGCAAAGCCTCTCTTTCCAAGATCAAATTCGCCTACTTAAGCAAATGAAGCTCTCAAACAAGCTTCTCTTCCTATACGGTTGAGTTGTAATCCTTATATTTAAAGTCTGATTACGATGAAGTTATGAGATCTTGATTGATTTTATCATCATTCACACATCACCCGCTTTAAGTGTATGGTTGTAAATTTCAACTGTAAAAATCCAAAATCCAAATCATAAAATTACTGCTGCTATACACCAAGTACTTAGTGCCTACCTAACGAAAAACCTTAATTAAAAGTTTTCTCTCATTATCAGGAGGGATAATTATCGATAGGGGTTTGTGCCTGTGGGAAGCCAAATCTCGAATCATAAAATTATCGCAAAATGAGAGCAAAATCTCTGGGTAGTGTCTTATTTAAAATCCAATCCGCCTTTTGAAAATTTACCCCGGACCTAATCCGTTAAAATTCTCCTCGTCGATAAAACAGGCACGACGAAGCCGGGCGCAAATTTTTGGAGCACACATTAAGAACTCTCCTAAATATAATATAAACATATCATTAAAACACTAGATGAATTTAACTTGGAATGAATGCAAATCAAGACGGGCATCTATTTATAAGAGGAAAGATGACTCCATTTGGGGTCTACCCGAGTAAAATGCAAGTTACATACAAATAAAGTAAATCATTTTGAAAAAAAACGTGAAAGATTCAAACTTGTGAACTCATAATCAGATTCGATACATGTGTATAGTGGATAGAATGCGAGTAATAATAAGTTTAAAAATAAAAATCATGTGCATATTATTAAGGCCATTCACGTCAACAATTGTTACATCATACCTAATCTTATGCAATTGCATTTGCGTGAATGGATTTCAAGCAAAACAGAATGGTTCAACATGTTGTACGTCACGGGTTGTACAAACACCCTAAGCGATGTGCATATTATGTAACACGTGCACACCCTATCGACAAATAGTATGTCCCCGAATGAGTAGTAAACCCCATGGATGAAAACTTGCTAAATGAGATAAAGCAGTGCGTTGTTGCACATCGCAGGTCATGCAAACATTTTGAAATTATGTTTATGACGTGTTAAATTACTAAAAGCAATTTTTTCTGCAAGATCTCTAAATTTATAGTACAAATGTACTGAGAGCATGCAAATGCAATGTGCAAACACGGAAAAAAATTGTAATTACTCTGTCAAGCCTACACCAATTTTTAAATTCACTGTTGACCTGTACAAAAAAAAAAAAAAAAAAATGTACAAAAAAAAAAGAGATCAAATCCTACCTACTCACTGCTGTCCCACGTCGAGCCGTTCGTCGCACGTCGAAGCCACGATCGAGGTCATTTCTCCCACGTCGCCTACATGACGCGTTCGCGTCGTTAAATAGCAAAGGGAAATGAGGCCTTCGGCTCGTTCGGTTCCAGCTCTTGCCAAGCATCCACTCCTCCGATCTTTCTCACCCCATCTCTTCCGTTGCTGTTCGGCTTTGTAGCTTCACAGAAGGCGTAGAGATCGCAAGCTCCATTCCTCCCGCTCCTTCGTAGCTGTCCGACCCCACTCGATCGACGACTTTCCCTCACTGGTTCGGAAACAACGAACGGGAGCTCGCCGGCTGTGAAGCTAGCTTTCTTCCTTTCACGCACTTCTTCGGCC